ATGTAAGGAAGCCAATCAGTGGGGGAGGGGGGAATCACGTTGCCCTTAAAAATTCTGGAAAACAGCCTCTTCTTTCTTGTTGGCCACTTCGTGGGGTTTTTTTTTAAAGAAAGGTCCCATCTTTTAAAGCAGTATGGTACCTTGTTTTCTTCTGTGGATGGACTAGGGCAACCATGGATTGTCCAGATTAGACAACACCTGCCTGCTATTGCTGAACAGTGGCTCCCTAAGGTCCTCTGGTGAGCCACAGATTCTCCATCCCCACCCTAACCTGAGCTATGTTGAAAGTCTTCCAGATAAAAAACATGGAAGGTGGTTCCTGCCCACGGACTTTGCCCAATTCGTGTGACTCACTCCCAGGAAGCCCAGCAGGTAATTTCATCTCCTTCTCTTTGCCTCTCTTGGAATACATAGCCTGTCCTGAACTTCCAGTTCTTAATATTTCTCTGTATTGTTAGCAAGGTGGTCATTCTGCTCGGGTCAAACAGTGATCCAGTTGTGGGTTTCAACCCACCAGTTAACGACCAGTGGCCTACAGGGAGCCCACCAGCAGGAACTGAGCAACAGCACTCATGAAGCGTTGCCTCTCTTGAAATGGCCTGTGGTCCACGAAGGCTCCCTCCATAATAGATGTGTGAGGATTGCCTCACAATGAAATGTGAGGAAATGAAAAATGATGGGAACCTCAGGCCTCAGGCTCAACTGCAGCCCTCTGTACCTCCCTATCTGGCCCTTAGGTGTCTCCTCAGGCTACATACCTCACTAAATCTATCTTGTCACATTCCTGCGTTTTGTTTGCACCTTACTGGAATGGCTTCTTCAACTGCGGTAAGGCCTCTGGCTTGCCTGCATGCAGAAGGGAGAGAGGTATTCATAGAAACCTCTGAATTATTTTGTGCAGTTGAGACGTAAGCCTACAAGACAGTTGCTCTGCCCGCTTCCGCCTTTTGATCTGCCTGTTAGGATCGTCCTACTCTTGTGTAGGACCCTGGCAGAGACACATGCCTGACTGGCATGGTTTCTCCCTCCTGGTCAGTTGTTCGGGAGCTTCAAAAACTTTCTTCAGCCCGAACATCACAGCGACTGATACCAAGATGCATCAGCACACTTAGGGATCCGCAGAGTACTGGCGGTTCACGTAACAGACTCAATAGCTCAGCATTTTGGCTAATCTACTTTAGTTACATATAATACACTCGGAGCATTCTGACTTAGCTCCTTCCTCTTTCTTATCAGACAGCAAAAAGAGAAAGAACAATGGACAATAGTCCCACTTCACGGAACACAGTAACACAAAACATCCTGTCTCCGTCACTTCCCACACTGTGGAATGTAAACATACACTGTCATGTGATAGACAACAATCTCATGACTGCAAACACGGAGCAGGAATCCTAACACTGCCAACCTGAGGCGTGAAGATTCCGGAAGGTTCCTCACGTGGGAGTGGGACCCCTGAGGCTAAAAAAAGAAGTCCCCCACCCCTGAAGGAGGTGAGGTGATGCTTCGCCTTTCAATATTGCACCTTGATAGGTGCAAATATAATCTCCCTTGATTGATCAAATATATTTCCTCAAGGTTCAGAAAGTGGGATCTAACAGCTGGTACAGAGTCTGTCAGCGAGAGCCACCGAGCCTTCTCCTAGGGCAGGAATCTATGATCCTACGATCTGATACTTTCTTTCCTTTCCTTTCAGCCCGTGTGACTCTGGATCCAGACACGGCCCACCGGCGGCTGGTGGTATCCAAGGATGAGAAAAGTGTGCGATGGGGAGAGGTGGAGCAGACCTTTCCCAAGAGCGCCAAGAGATTTAACCAGCGCGCTTTTGTGCTGGGCAGGGAGGGATTCACTTCAGGCAAACACTGCTGGGAGGTTGGCGTGAAGGGCAAGGGGGAATGGGCAGTGGGGGTGGCCAAGGAGTCTGTGAAGAGAGAGGGGCCGACAGGATTCAGCCCGGCTGCAGGCATCTGGGGGATAGGAGAATACGAGGGGCTCGGGAACTACATAGCTTTCACCTCCCCACAACACACACGGCTCTCCCTTGGCAGGAGGCCACGGAATATCCGTGTGTTTTTGGACTACACTGCAGGGCAGGTGGATTTTTTCGATCCGGAAACCCAGACCACAATCTACACGTTCAGTTCAGCCGCTTTTGGAGGGGAAAAGGTTCTCCCTTGGTTCCGTGTGTGGGATGGAACCGAACTTATTGTGCGTCCCTGAGACACTGGACTCCGCACAAAAGGGTTCTGGAGCACCCAAGCTCTGTGATGCCGGAACCCCCGCCCGATGCCTCTCGATAGCACCTTTCCCCGTTTTCCCTCAGCTTTTACTTGTTTTTAAACAAGATCTATATTATTTTTCGTTGCATGGCTTTAACATCTTGGGTATTTGCAACCCAGGGCTCCTTAGCAAGGAAGGGTAGGTTACAAATGTAAAAAATAAATATATGTAAGTAAACATCTCCAAACACGAGAGGGCTAGACTGTGGGAGGGGTTCCAATATAGTTAACTCTTTACAATTACAAGCAAGCTTTTGCTTTTTTGACAAAAGCCACAGAAGCGAATAGGTGCTTTGTGTAACTTGAGAGAGAGACATTTGTTGTTGTTTTTTTTAAATGATATTTATTGAGAATTTTTTTTTTAAATTACAGAAAAAAAAGAAACAAGACCAAAAAAAAGTAAAAGTAAAACCATCATTCTCCAATTCTCCACTTTCAATACCTTCTTTCCTTGACCTCCTCCTCCTCCCTTTTCCTGTATCCTGATTTATAATAATCACAGCAAATCCTTTCCATAATTCATAATATTCTGTCCTCACATTACCTTAATCTATTTTCATCTTATCTTATATATAAAAAAAATTTAAAACTTCAATCTTAATTTTTACCAACTTCTCCTAACCATAACATTCTTACCTAATTCTTTAGACATTTTTATAAGAGCCAAATAATTTCATTTCCACATTTTCCTAACATTCATCAATTTTGTAAAACAGTCCTAATGATAAAAATAGAAACTTAAGCAATCCAATCTTCATCCAGCGTCCCTTCCTCCTGGTCCCGGGTTTTGTCAGTCCTTTTTGTCCTATTAATCTAGCACATTAACCTGCCGATCTTATATCCAAGGCCCTCAAGTCTCTTCCATGTCCCTTCCGCCGCTCTTCTTCATATTTTCCTTTTATTCGTGGGAACTCCAGCTTGGTAATGTTTTTGACCCTTTTCAACAAAACAGTCCCTTTTCCATAGTCCAGACTAGACTCGATGTAGTATTTAAAAACATGTTCCAGATTCCCTTCAAAGTTGAGAGCCCCCACTGCTCCAGACATCTGACGGCCCCTTTCCAGACTCGAAAAGTCCAAATCTCCCTGTATAGGGGGGTCTATCCAACCCCCCATTTCCAAACCAAACCAAATTTTATCTTTCCAAGTCTGGTCTTTTCCAAGTTCATTTGCCCAATCCAAAAATTTATATTCCTGCTGGGCCGCAGCTCATTCCGTCTTTGGCGCCCAAGATTAAGCAGAATCCTCATCTCTCAGCTGTTCTGTCATAGCACGCTCCTGTTTTAGTTCCTGGGTGGGCTCCATATAGTTTCCCACTACCTGTTCAAAGGTTCTGGCCGCATTAGTCATCAAATCCGTCTTCTGGCTTAACTGATCCAATAGGGCATTTATTTTGCAGAGAGCACCCAACAGTGCTTCTGCAGACATTGTCCTGCAAGGTCACAAACCCTTTCCCACGGTTGTAATCAGTGACAGCTGCAAGCTCCAGGGATTAGTTACAATTTCACAGTTCCCCTCTAGGGGGAAAAACTTCTGATTGTTCTTTCTCTTAAAAACAATAGCAACAAAGTTTCTTTTTTAAGATATTTTGTCCATATTTGTTCTTTTAAGATGCGAAAGGGAGCAATGGAGTCACTATGTTTCTCTTCTTTTAACTATCTGTCAAAGACATTTGTTTCTGGTCAGTGAGCTTCAAACGTCAATTCTGACACCCCGCTCCAGGATCAGGATGGTGTAAAATTACTTTGCTTTAGATTCACTTCTGCAGGTTTAAACAGCTCAAAAAAGCTCCCCCTTCTTCTCCTGCTACCGAAGGGGGGTTCAGCGATTTTAAATGATGAAAGCCAATTCTTTAAGAGTGATTTTTAAAGCTCTAGTTTGCGTTGTCTTTGCTTTGTTCTGGCTACAGGGAAACGGAAGGCTGACTTCCTGTTTAAACCTTTCCGTTTCAGTACCAAATTAGGGTGGATTTTAAAGTCCAAATTCCTTTCTATTTCACCAGTTCTTATTTAAAGTCCAGATACAGTGGTGCCTCGCAAGACGAAAAGAATCCGTTCTGGGAGTCTCTTCGTCTAGCGGTTTTTTCGTCTTGCGAAGCAAGCCCATTGATGGGATTAGCGGATTAGCGCTATTAGCGCTATTAGCGGCTTTTAGCGGCTTTTAGCAGCTTATCAGCTTATCTGATAAGCAGATAAGCGGCTTAGCGACTTAGAAAAAGAGGGGGAAAAGGAAAAAAAACACCCAGGAACTCGCAAGACATTTTCGTCTTGCGAAGCAAGCCCATAGCAGATTCGTTTTGCGAGGCACCTCCAAAACGGAAAACTCTTTCGTCTAGCGAGTTTTCCGTCTTGCGAGGCATTCGTCTTGCGGGGCACCACTGTATTCAATGTTCCAGTACTCACGGTTGGTTATTTTAGATGCCAAATTGTCCCAGGAAAAGGGCAGCGCTCTCCGGCAATGGCTATGCGGCTTCGCTCCGCAGAAAAAGCGATTGACTCACAGCACCGCGCCACTTCCCCCTCTTCGCTTTGGAGCCCGTTTGTGGGTTCCTTTGCGGGCTGGGGGGGCGCTAAGGGTGCCCGCCGAGTCCCACGGTCACAGGCTTCATCCGCCTGTGATTTCCAGAAGGGTCCCCGCTTCGCCGCAGCGGAAAGGACCCGTTTCATGCGGAGGGTGTTCCACAGGGCGGGCGCCACTACCAAGAAGGCCCTTTGCCTGGTTCCCTGTAACCTCATTTCTTTTCTTTTTTTAAAAAATAATTTTTATTCATTTTCCAAACAAATTTTGTACATTCAACAAATTATTTTACACTCATGCTTCAATTTTTGACTTCCCTCAGTTTCTCTGTCAATCTTTCGAAAAATTTCTATTTATTGACGCATTTCTAAACATGATTTTGCCTTTCCCCACTCCTTTTCCTCTTACTCTCTTTTTTGCAGTATTTCTTACTATTTCACAGAGTCTCTTCAAAACCAACAAGCGTTGTCTGTGCATCACATATATTTTTCAGATATTCTTTAAATTTTCCCCAGTCCTCGATAAACTTTTGGTCTTTCTGATATCGAATCTTCCCAGTCATGTAACCTCATTTCTCGCAGGGAAGGAATCACCAGAAGGCCCTCGGAACTGGACCTCAGTGTAAGGTTACCAGATTTTTTTCAATGAACCCGGGGACACTTTTATTTTTATTTTTGAAGCTGAGTAGCAACAGGGAGTCAGTAGTGGGGATGGAGAGGCAAAAGACCCTGAGCCCAAGCACACATGCATATCCCAAGCCTTCCCCGATGATCTGCCCCCTTCCCCCCTTTGTTTTGACACACTGGGGGAGGCTCAGGAGTCGCGGGTAGGCGGGCATTGCCCAGGAGGGGCGCACGGCGCACGATTTCTCTGCCAGGCAAGGTGCATAGCCCTTATTTTGCACCCTGTGAAACATAAACAAGCAGTTTTTTAAAAACTGGGCAACAGCCGGCCGTGACTCCCGAGCCTCCCCCGATGAGTCAAAACAAAGGAGGAAGGGGGCAGATCTGTACCGCTGGATGTCCCCGGTTCCCCTTCAGTAGTGGCAGCGACAGTCAGCAGCCCGGAGCCAGCCTGGTAGCGCAGTTGGCTCTGGGTGGCTTCAGGAGCTGCTTGCTGCTCTGGCACCCACCATTTTTCCTCGCCATATGATATGTTGCGCATTAGACACATCATATGGGGACTTTCGGTGAGGAAAAATGGCGGGCGCCACGGCAGCGAACAGCTCCTGAAGCCAGAGCCAAGTGTGCTACCAGGCTGGCTCCGGGCTGCTGAGGCTGCCGTTGTCACGTTTCCCGGAGACAGATTTACAAATCTGGGGACATTCCGGAGACGGAATTTGCCCAGGGACAGATTTGCAAATCCGGTGACTATCCCCAGGAACCGGCGACGTCTGGTAACCCTACCTCAGTGTCCAGGCTGAATGATGGGGGTGGAGACACTCCTTCAGGTATACTGGGCCGAGGTTGTTTGGGGCTTTAAAAGTCAGCACCAGGAAGTCCCCCGGTACTATAGCTAGGAAGTGGAAGGGGCAAGCAGAATTTAAAATGGAAGAATAGTATAAAGAGGTTTGGGATAGAGCTATTAATGATAAATTAACATGTGCCATTAAGGTAAGATGGGGAATATGCAGGAGAAATGATTTCGAGGAGATATGGAAGGTATTTGTAGAATTTGTATACTGTTAAAATGGAAAGGGGTCAAACCATCACAAGAGGTGTTGAAATTTTGGGAGGTTGGATAGTTACAATGGAATGGTCTCGATGGTGGGGTGCACATGTTTATTCGTATCTATGATTATTACTTTGTCCCAAAAAAAAAAAAAAAATTAAACAGGAATGTTAAAAAAAAAAAAAAAAGGAAGAGGAGAAAGGCCGCGTTCTGGACTCACCTGTCAGATTTTCCTCTTCCTGTTTTGAGTCACAGCCTGGCAGTCGACTGCGAAAGGGGGAAATTGCTCAAGGGGCTGCTACAGCTCAGCACTATTTCACACGCGGCACGCAACACGGAAGACAGCAACGACACACGAAGGAGGGGTGCCTCACTTGTGGCCTCACAGAGGTTACTGGAATCCAACGGCCACCTGCCTCAGCCACTAGGGTCAAGGGCCAGCAAACATGGGAGCTGTTGTGCCACAGGTTACCCATGCTTGCTCAACATTAGGCAAACAGGAATTGGGGAGGGAGGAGAGAACAGGGCCTTCTCTGCAGTGGCTCCCCATTTGTGGGACACTCTCCGCAGGGCGCTTCGCCTGGCGCCTTCATTATACCCCTTTAGGCGCCAGGCAAAAATGTTCCACTTCAACCAGGCTTTGGGCTGATTCACATCCAATGCCCTTTTAAAATAGGGGGAGGGCTTTTGTTTCCATAGTGTGTTTTGTGTTTTGATGTTGTGATTTTATCCTGTGAACTACCCTGAGACCTGTGGGTACAGGGCGGTATACAAATTTAAAAAATAATAAAGATGAGTAACATTTCTTTTCCGAGATGGACGCTGATAGTGTTTTGCATGAACTCTATAACCCTGACAAACAGGGTTGGGTCATTATTAAGATCCTTGCACTAGGCATGGGGAGGGAACTGCAGTTTACCTCTGACATAGCTAAGACACACAGCATCTTTAAGAAACTACAGTTCCCATGATTCTTTGGGGGAAGCTGAGTGAGGAATTCAATATGGCGCCGAGGAGATTGTCCCACCAGTGCAATCTTTTCAGCCAGCCAGACAAAACGAACACCCCTCCCTTTCCCTGACACCTCCAGAGCCTATTTCAGGACGTGTGGGGCAGCCTCAATGCACAGGCTTCTGCTAGTGGGACTAGTTAGCTGAATCCTGCCCCACATGCTTTGAAGGAACGGTGTGGATTTGACCTCAAGTCTCTTAAACCACTACACAGGGTTAAGCGTGGCCTCAGCAAAGCGCTGTTCAAGCAGCTCCCACTTCCTAAAATGGGGCTCCGTAAGGCTTTTGGTGTGAGGGGAGATGGGTGCCTTGCCCACCCTCAAAATTCAAAATGGGTGCCTTGTGGTCCAAAACAGTTGGTGAGCCTTCCTCTAAATCAGGGGTGTTATGTACTGAAGTTCTCACCCTGGGCCAACAGGGGGATACTGTAGATAGTTTTCACTCAGGTCCACATATGCAAATAAAGGATTGAAAGTGACGTTCAGTGATTGGATAGTTACAGAAAATGGTTACTGTTGCGTTGTAGTGGAGCTCTAAATAAGCAGGCTGGCTGAACCCTTCAGTTCAGTTCTGTTCTGGCCTGTGAATAAACAAGAACTGTTTGAAGAATTGCTGTGTCGTCTGGTATGTTCACCCACAACTTAACAACTTAACTTTTTCAGCAGGGGGCCGGTCCACTGTCCCTTAGACCTTGTGGAGGGCCGGACTATATTTTGAGGGGGGGGGGATGAACGAATTCCTATGCCCCACAAATAACCCCAAGATGCATTTTAAATAAAAGGGCACATTCTACTCATGGAAAAACATGCTGATTCCCAGACCGTCCACGAGCCGGATTTAGAAGGCGATTGGGCTGGATCCGGCCCCCGGGCCTCAGGTTGCCTACCCATGCTCTAAACAGACAGTCATTCGATACACACACGCAAAAGGCAGGGTGAAGGGCTCTCTCCTTTTCTGCCACACAGCTTCTGGCCAAAGACATCATTTCCCTGCCGCCATCTTGCCTCATCCCACGTGGGTCCTCCGATGCCGATCGAGGTTTCCTTTGAGAGTGAACTGCTTCCCGCACTCCGCACAGGAGTAGGGTTTCTCTCCCGTGTGAATCCGGTGGTGCTGATAGAGGGCTGTTTTGCTACCGAACATCTTCCCGCACTCAAAGCACTTGTGGGGCCTCTCTCCAGTGTGGCTGTTTTGGTGCGCCCCCAAGTCCCCTTTCTTCTTGAACCTCTTGCCGCAGTCGTAGCACTCAAAGGGCCTCTCGGTCGTGTGGCGTTTCTGGTGGCTCGTCAGGCTGGATTTCTTGCCAAAAACCTTCCCGCATTCCGGGCAGGCAAACGTTTCCCTCAGCTCATCTGTTGGAACAAAGAGCAGAATGGCTGAGTCTGGAATAACCTTGTGAAGTGAAAGGATAAGAAAGAGGGATTTATATCTAGATGTTAGGATAGAGGTGATAAGGAAAACAGAAAGACACAATGAGAGATAAAGGAGGTGCTGTGGGATTGGTGGAAGTCAATGCTTGTTTTTCTTTTTAGTGTTTATATTATTAACTTGTAAGATATGGATTTGGGTTTTTTTGTTTTTTGAATGTTGGTTTTTGAGTTTTGTGTATTGTTATTTTTTGATATTTTTGTGTTGTTGTGTGGAAAATACTAATACACACACACACACACACACACACACAGTGGTACCTCAGGTTAAGTACTTAATTCATTCCGGAGGTCCGTACTTAACCTGAAACTGTTCTTAACCTGAAGCACTTTAGCTAATGGGGCCTCCTGCTGCTGCCGCGCCGCTGGAGCACAATTTCTGTTCTCATCCTGAAGCAAAGCTCTTAACCTGAAGCACTATTTCTGGGTTGGCGGAGTCTGTAACCTGAAGCGTATGTAACCTGAAGAATGTGCATATATCTATATACTGTATATATATTCAATCATATATAATATGTATACACACACACTGACATTTGTGTCTCTCTCTATTTTTGTAAGGCAAATCATGCTGCAGTTTGCATGGCCCCTGACAGGATCTCTCTATCTGTTATAATACCCCATTTTTAATATATATATCACGTCCATTTAGTTTCTCTCGTGCCTGTGTAGTTCAGCCTCCTCTCCTTTAGGGAACAGGCACACATTCAAAGTCGCGCTAATGAAATTCCCTGTCGTAAAATGCGCCTGGAATCATGGGAGTTTCGAATGCTGCCCTTGTGGTCCCTTCCAGTTCCATAATCTGGCTGGCCGCTGTGAAAACAGGATACAGTGGTACCTCGGGTTACATACGCTTCAGGTTACAGACTCCGCTAACCCAGAAGTAGTACCTCGGGTTAAGAACTTTACCTCAGGATGAGAACAGAAATTGCGCGGCAGCAGCGGGAGGCCCCATTAGCTAAAGTGGTGCTTCAGGTTAAGAACAGTTTCAGGTTAAGAACGGACCTCCGAAACGAATTAAGTTCTTAACCCGAGGTGCCACTGTACTGGAGTAACCTGGTGAGGGCATCTTATGGCCTTGCCACCTGGAGAAGATCCCCCTGGCGCTGCCCCGCTCACCTGGGTGCTGATTCCGGTGTCTGACCATGTCTCCCCTCTCGCAGAAGGCCTTGCCGCACACGGGGCAGTCATAGGGCTTCTCCCTCGCGTGCTTCAGGTAGCGCCCCTTCCTGCTGAACTGCTTCCCGCAGTCGGCGCACTGGAAGGGCTTGGCTTCTTTGTGGAGGATTTCGTGCCTGGCGAGGTTGGAGCGGATGTTGAAGCGCTTCCCGCACTCGAGGCAGGGGAAGGGCCTGTCCTGCCGGTGGGTCCGCTGGTGCCTCACCAGGCTCCCGTTGTCGTAGAAGCTCTTCTCGCACTCGGGACACTGGAAGGGCCTCTCTCCCGCATGGACCCTCTGGTGCCTCTCGAGGCCTCCTTTGCTGAGGAAGCTCATCTCGCACTCGAGGCACAGGTAGCGCTTCCTCAGGTCACCTGCGAAGGGACCAAGCAGGCAAGGAGTGACCCCTCGGGAAATGATGGCGGCAGGACTAATGCCCTTCTCTCCCTCCCTACTTGATGCTTGGCAGGGACGAAGTTAAAACAGAAAGGTCCAGAGATTATTTTGAAGCCTGGGAATTTGAGGTCACTGAGTTCTATAACAATGAGAATCGAAAGATGTCAGGTATATCTGTGTCTGCAAAGGAGTTTGTGTCTAGAGTGGTGCATGTTCTGGTTATCTCCCGCTTGGACTACTGCAATGCGCTCTACATGGGGCTACCTTTGAAGGTGACCCGGAAACTACAGTGGTGCCTCGCAAGACGAAATTAATCCGTTCCGCGAGTGTCTTCGTCTAGCGGTTTTTTCGTCTTGCGAAGCAACCCTATTAGCGGCTTAATGGATTAGCACTATTAGCGGTTTAGCGGCTATTAAAGGCTTATCGGCTTAGCGGATTAGCTGCTAAAAGGCTATTAAAGGCTTAGCGGCTTAGATAAAGGGGGGGGGAAAGCGGAAAAAAAATCTCAAGACTCGCAAGACATTTTCGTCTTGCAAAGCAAGCCCATAGGGAAATTCGTCCTGCGAAGCAACTCAAAAACAGAAAACCCTTTCGTCTAGCGGGTTTTCCGTCTTGCGAGGCATTCGTCTTGCGGGGCACCACTGTACAACTAATCCAGAATGCGGCAGCTAGACCGGTGACTGGGAGCGGCCGGCGAGACCACATGACACCAGTCGTGAAAGACCTACATTGGCTCCCAGTACGTTTCCAAGCACAATTCAAAGTGTTGGTGTTGACCTTTAAACCCTAAACGACCTCAGCCCAGTATACCTGAAGGAGCGTCTCCACCTCCATCATCCATCCTGGACACTGAGGTCCAGCTCCGAGTGCCTTCACTGCTCCGGTGGTTCCTTCACTGCGAGAAGTGAGGTTGCAGGGAACCAGGCAGAGGGCCTTCTCGGTAGTGGCGCCTGCCCTGTGGAATGCCCTCCCATCAGATGCCAAGGAAAAAAACAACTATCTGACTTTTAGAAGACATCTGAAGGCAGCCCTGTTGAGGGAAGTTTTTAATGTTTGATGTTTTATCGTGTTTTTAATATTCTGTTGGGAGCTGCCCAGAGTGGCTGGGGAAACCCAGCCAGATGGGCGGGGTATAAATAATAAATTATTATTAGTAGTAGTTTTAGTATTATTACTAAAACCAGTCAGGCATTTATGTATGAAAAACAGTGGGAGAGACGGGTTGTGACGTACGTATTATTGATTTATAAATAAAGATTTACATGGGCTGACAAAGCGAAGAACAATTCTTCTTGATATTTGGGAATGTGCTATAGTTAAGCAAAAGTCTAGCAGGAACTGGTAAAGAGTAGCCGACAGAAAATGAAGAGGAGAAAAATAGGGGGGGAAATGCTAAAATGAGTATTGCCTTTATCCTCTTTTCAGAACAGGGGAACAAAACTTATTTGCTCAGGCTGTTTGGTTTAGGTTTTGCTTTTATGGTAGATTTTTATTGCCCGCTGAAGTCTGTCTCTATTAAAATTTCTATTTTTATTAAACTTTAGTTGTTGCAGAGCAGTGTGCGAATAAATAAGCGACACCCCAAAGCACGGTGACCATAATTCCCTCACCAAGGTGGGTTTTCTGATGCTGAATAAGCGCGTCTCTCTCCGTGAACCTTTTCCTGCATTCGTGGCACTCGTGGGGCTTTTTGCCAGTGTGGATCCTCCGATGTTTGACGAGGCCTCCTTTGTCGCGAAACCCTTTCCCGCACTCGAGGCATTTGTAAGGTCTCTCCCCCGTGTGGGATCTCTGGTGCCTCACGAGGCTCGCTAGCACCGTAAAACTGTTCCCACAATCTGGGCAAAAGTGCCTTTTTTTCTTGTCGCCTGCTGGGAGGGAGACAGAGAGAGCGCTCATGTAAACAAAGGAATACACCAGAGACATTTTACGAGCTGAGAACATGAGGGAGTAATAACAGAATACAAACCTAAACAAATTAGAAAGAGCTGAGAGGAAATTAAAATGTTTGAAAAAACATGAGGCAGAGTCCTCTCCAGGAACAGGCGGGGAGCACTGAGGAAAATTTTGTCTTCATTTTCTGTTGCACGAGCTTTTTCAACTGTTCTTATATGTTCTTTCAATGCTGATTTCAAATCTGAAATCGATTTTCGTGTACATGCTATAGTTATCTTTCAATTTCCGACTTTTGCCGATACGTCATATTTACACTGGGGATAAGCGGACACTGACACGTTGATCTACCCTAACCACATGGTAATTACTTACAGTGGTGCCTCGCAAGACGAAATTAATCCGTTCCGCAAGTATCTTCATCTAGCGGTTTTTTCGTCTTGCGAAGCAACCCTATTAGCGGCTTAGCGGATTAGCGCTATTAGCGGTTTAGCGACTATTAGCGGTTTAGCGACTATTAAAGGCTTATCGGCTTATCGGCTTAGCTGCTAAAAGGCTATTAAAGGCTTAGCGGCTCAGAAAAAGGGAGGGGAAAGCGGAAAAAAATCTCAAGACTCGCAAGACATTTTCATCTTGCAAAGCAAGCCCATAGGGAAATTCGTCCTGCGAAGCAACTCAAAAACGGAAAACCCTTTCGTCTAGCGGGTTTTCCGTCTTGCGAGGCATTCGTCTTGTGGGGCACCACTGTATTGTTTTGCAAACTTAATTTTTCTTTATTTTTAGTTTTGTAACCTAAATATTTGTATTCTTCAGATCGGACCATGACTTCTTCAAGTAGACAAAAATGTATAAACAAGCCTGGTGCATGAATTGCAAAAAAACCCAGAGCTTACAGAACAAAACCAACTTCAGATATGAAATCAGCACCCCTAAATTAGGTTAGAACAACTGCAGGTGTCAATGCAACAATTTTTTTGTTTCCCAGTGTTATGTTTAAATGCTCTTCAACTCAAAACAAGCAAACAAATCTCACATCCTTCCTCTCTCACCAGAGCTGGAGTCCAAGGCCTTCCTTTCCTCCAGGGCCTGTGGATCTGGCACCCAAGGTTCTTCCTCTTCTTCTAAGCTGGAGATCAGGGAGGGTTTGAGGACAGGAGACCCTGTTTGGAGAGAAAAGGCTAAGAGCATCAAAGAGTGGCCCAGAGTGGCTGGGGAAACTCAGCCAGATGGGCGGGGTATAAATAATAAATTATTATTATTATTATTATAAAGAGGAATCAATCATTTCTTGGTCTCAACTAGGGCCAGGGCCTTTTCAGTACTGGCCCCGACTTGGTGGAACGCCCTGTCACGAGAGACTAGGGCCCTGCGGGACTTGACATCTTTCCGCAGGGCCTGCAAGACAGAGCTGTTCCACCAGGCCTTTGGCCAGGGCACAGCCTGACCCTTATGTTTCCATCCCCTCATGGTTTTGATCTATGGGCTACTTTTAAAATGAGGCTGCATTTTAGAGTCTCAGCCTGTGTACCAAATGGAGCTGATAAACAGCTGCCCTGGACACAGAATTGACCTGTGCCTCCATGGACAGCTGTGACTCCAAAATGACTCCCAGGCTGCGCACCTGGTACTTCAGGGGCACAGTTACCCCATTCAGGACCAGGGAGTCCTCCACACCCGCCCGCCTCCTGTCCCCCAAAAACAGTACTTCTGTCTTGTTAGGATTCAACCTGACAAGGTAGTTACCCAGCAAAGATGTATTTTCATAGTTCTCGAGCATGACATCCCTGTACAAGCTTCTTTGAGCCGGATCCAGCAAGGCCCACTCCTGCTCTGAAAAGTACACAGCCACATCCTCAAAGGTCACTGGTCTCTGCAACAATGACGACGACAACAGGTGTGCAAACTAAAGATCTTCACTTCCCCATATACCATCCCAAAGAGGCTTCTACCCCAAATCACACACAATAGTGGCATATCTGCTTCGAAATGTGGTTTTGCTCTGATCTGAGATTCAGTGGAGGCACTCAACTCAGTCTGTCCTCAGCTAGCTCGTGTCTGTCTGGGTTCAATCCCTGGCACCCCAGGCAAAAAAAGGGTAAAGGACCCCTGGACGGTTAAGTCCAAAGGTGACTATGGGGTTGCGGCGCTCATCTCGCTTTCAGGCCGAGGGAGCCGGCGTTTGTCCTCAGACAGCTTTCCAGGTCATGTGGCCAGCATGACTAAACCGCTTCTGGTGCAATGGGACACCGTAACAGTAGCCAGAGCGCACGGTAACGCTGTTTACCTTCCCACCACAGCAGTACCTATTTATCTACTTGCGCTGGTGTGGTTTGAACTGCTGCAGCTGGGACAGAGCAATGGGAGCTCACTCTGCCGCGGGGATTCAAACCAACCTTCTGATCAGCAAGCCCAAGAGGCTCAGTAGTTTAGACCACAGTGCCACCCACTTCCCGAAACCCGGGAGAGCTTCTGCCAGTCATCACAGGCTCTGTAGACAATACAGTGGTACCTCGGGTTAGGAACTTAATTCGTTCTGGAGGTCTGTTCTTAACCTGAAACTGTTCTTAACCTGAGGTACCACTTTAGCTAATGGGGCCTCCCACTGCTGCCACACCGGAGCACGATTTCTGTTCTCATCCTGAAGCAAAGTTCTTAACCTGAGGTAATATTTCTGGGTTAGCGGAGTCTGTAACCTGAAGTGCATGTAACCCGAGGTACCAGTTTGTATGCCTCCCCTCTCCCACAGCCACATAGCGGGACTCTCTGATGCCATCCTCACAGCAACACTGTGAGGCAGGGTGGCCAAGAGAAAACAAGTGGCCCAACAGAGATCTGAAATGCTGGTCTCCCTGGCCCAGTCGGGATTTCAATCCACTACACTGGCTTCTCAATGTGGGCGAATGACAGATGTCTGTTGCTGGGCTCTGCAGTCAGAGTTTCCTACCTGCCCAGGGTCTGCCTCAGTTGTATCCCTTCCACCAGGAGGAGCGGATGCACCAGCACAAAGAGAGTATGGACTTCTTGCACCTGAAGGCACAAAAAATGCAGAGAACAATTCCATTTCCATTTCAGAATTTTGACGCTCCGTTCAAACCAAGCCTCAGAAAGTGAGCGAATTCTGCAGAAAGGAATTCTTCTCCTTCAGCAAATACCACATGCAGAAGAAAATGCATGCAGGGGGGCAACAGGCACAGAGAGGTAGCCCCATTTTGATTACATCGATTATCATCACCCTTGTGAGCTAAACCGCGATTCTCAAGGCAACGAAATATAATCTCAAGGGGGCTTACGTGAGGGCAACTTTGTGGCACCACCCCACCATGCTGGCAACTTCCTGCCCGAGTGGGATCTTCCCTCCTGAACAGGGATGATGGGAGTTGTAGTCCAACAAAAATCTGGGCATTTTTGCATCGTGCACAATCCCAAACAACTTATTTGAAAGCTGGCTTCGTCTAATTTCGCACCTGGTCCAGAGTCCAGAGTCTTCCCTCCATCCACCTCACAGCGGATCGGAATCCAGGGCTCTTCCTCTTGTTCCAGCCGAGAGATCAGGTCGGGTTTGAGAACTGGAGACCCCACTTGGGTAAGGATGTGAACATTATTATTACTGTTCCGGTTGCTATTCAATACTCAATATACCACCTAACGTCAAAAACTGGCTTCAAAGAGCTTTACGAAGTACAAAAGCCAGTTGCACATATGAACACCCATAACTGAAACACGCAATATAAGAAAGCCCATGAAAACAGCACAGCAATCAGAGGCAGTGAAGACAGGTTGATTGTTCCACTACTTTTGGAAGTGTAGCTTTGGGAAGGAGGTAAAGGTAAAGGTAAAGGGACCCCTGACCAATAGGTCCAGTCGTGACCGGCTCTGGGGTTGCGGCGCTCATCTCGCTTTATTGGCCGAGGGAGCCAGCGTACAGCTGCCGGGTCATGTGGCCAGCATGACTAAGCCGCTTCTGGTGAACCAGAGCAGCGCACAGAAATGCCGTTTACCTTCCTGCCAGAGCGGTACCTATTTATCTACTTGCACTTTGACGTGCTTTCGAACTGCTAGGTTGGCAGGAGCAGGGACCGAGCAACGGGAGCTCACCCCGTCACAGGGATTCGAACCGCCGACCTTCTGATCAGCAAGTCCTAGGCTCTGTGGTTTAACCCACAGTGCCACCTGTGGGCCTCCAAACTCTTGACACCCTTATTTATTTATTTGTTTGTTTGTTTGTTTGTTTATTATGATGAATTTATATACAGTCATACCTCGGGTTACAGATGCTTCAGGTTGTGCGTTTTCGGGATACAGACACGCCGAAACCCGGAAGTACCGGAATGGATTACTTCTGGGTTTTGGCACTCGCGCATGCGCAGAAGCACTAAATCGCACTTTGCGCATGCACAGACGTGGTGTTGCGGGTTGCGGACGTGCCTCCCACGTGGATCACATTTGCAACCCGAGCGTCCACTGTACCGCCCGATACCTGGAGGTCTCAGGGCGGTTCACAGAAAAGATCACAATATATAAAATAAAAAATAAAAATAACCCAATAATACCCACACACTGCAAAAAAGAGCCACATTTTAAAAGGGTATAGGATGTCAGTCAGGTCAACCAAAGGCCTGGTTAAAAAGAAACATTTTTGCCTGGCGCGTAAAGGTGCATAATGAAGGTGCAAACCTTGAGAAACAGCAGCTCCCGGTATCCTTTGGGGGAAGCCAGGACTGTTTAAAATGTTATCATAGGGCTTTAGATGTATAGAATCATAAAAATCGCAGAGTTGGGACCCCAAGGGTCATCTAGTCCAACCCCCTGCAATGTATGTTGTGAATGTGGCCTAAATAGGCCTTTGGCCTGATGTAGCAAGTCTTCTTCAGGTGTTCTTATACCTGGCAAATGCCCTCAACTGATTTTCCAGAACAGCCTTATTATTATTATTATTTATTAAATGTGCATGCCGTCATTCATCCGCAGAGCTCAGGGCGGTTCGCAACATAAAAATGCAACATAAGAGCACAAAATACCTCTTAAAAACAAGAGCAAAGAAAGAAACCAATAGCCCCGCTTCCCCTCCCACACATTTAACAGGGGTGTAAGATGGCTGATTAAGAACATACTTGTCCCAACAAAATGATGAGTAATAGTACCTACTCAGGAAAGCCACATGGCTGTAATTCTCCCCCATGACGTCGCTGTACAAAGATTTTTGATGCGAATGCAGAAGATCCCACTGACCCTTTGTGAAATAGACAGCAACGTCTTCAAAGCTCACGAGCATCTGAAAGGGGGGGAAAATGACTACAAGAAGGAAATGCAAAAGGGACAGGCTGATTTCACCAATGCAGTGGTACCTCAGGTTACAGACGCTTGAGGTTACTGACACTTCAGGTTACAGACTCCGCTAACCCGGAAGTAGTACCTCGGGTTAAGAACTTTACCTCAGGATGAGAACAGAAATTGTGCGGCAGCAGTGGGAGGCCCCATTAGCTAAAGTGGTACCTCAGGTTAAGAACAGTTTCAGGTTAAGAAGGGACCTCCGGAACGAATTAAGTTCTTAACCCGAGGTACCACTGTATAAAGAAAAATGGTTGCAACGTGTGCCATGTTTACTTCCCAGGTTGAAGAGGGCACACAAAGCTCATGTTGTTGTTTAGTCGTTTATGGATGGAGGCTCGCAACATTCTACAGGAGGCAGCAACGAAAACACAAAGCTCATAGCTTTTCTAATAAATAACAACAAGGACTCCAATATCTTCAGGAATGCCTCCCCCAATAGGAACCTACGCATATCTTTTTTGGACGGATCTTCTCCAGATCCCCTCTCTAAGGAAGGTGCAGACAAGGCAGAGGGCCTTTTCAGTGGTGGCTCCCCCTCTGTGCAATGCTCTCCCCAGCAAGATCCACCTGGTGACTTTACTGACATGTTTTCAGTACCAGGAAAAGGCTTACCTCCCTCCACCCCAGCCTTTTGATAGACTGAGGTGATAGTGATTTGCTACTAGTGTGCTATTCCTATTGTGGCTGTCACCAGGGTTGTACTGATAGTATAACCAGTGTTAAAATATATAAGCCAATCAACAAATGGCGCCTTCAACAAAATGCCTAGGCATCGTCCCTGCCCCCCACGGTGGGGTTTATTGTTGTTGTTCATTTAATTTCTATACAGTCGTACCTTGGAAGTTGAACAGAATCCGTTCCAGAAGTCCGTTCGACTTCCAAAACATTTGGAAACCAAATTGCGGCTTCTGATTGGCTGCAGGAAACTCCGCAGAAGCCCCATTGGACATTTAGGCTCCAAAAGAACATTTGCAAACCGGAACAATCACTTCCAGGTTTGCGGCATTCGGGAGCCTAAAAGTCCGAGTTCCAGGGCGTTCAACAACCAAGGTACAACTGTACAGCTTTATATTTTAAAGAAAAAAACTATAAGCAGTTTACAACACGTTAGAACATCAAATGAAACAATCCAGAATAAAACAAATTCAAGCTTCAAGGAAAATATTTCAGATCCTTCTCTGAGTGACATTTTGCTTTCCCGGTATTTCCCTACCCAGTTTACAGAGCTGCCCCATAGTGGAAGTACTCACGCCAGTCGCAAAACGCGCCTGGGGAATTTCAAACCCTGGGCATAATGTATTAATGTTTTCAATTGTGTTCTGAGTTCTTTGGAGACCTTTGGGTAGCAGGTAAAAAAGGTAAAGGAGCCCTGGACAGTTACATCCAGTCAAAGGCGACTATGGGGTTGTGGTGCTCATCTCACTTTCAGGCCAAGGGAGCTGGTGTTTGTCCAGAGAAAGCATTCTGGGTCACATGGCCAGCAGGACTAAACCGCTTCTGGTGCAACGGGACACCGTGACAGAAACCAGGGCGCATAGAAATGGCGTTTACCTTCCCACCACAGCAGTACCTATCTATCTACTTGCACTGGCGTGCTTTCAAATTCCTAGGTTGGCAGGAGCTGGGACCGAGCAACGGGAGCTCACCCCGTAACGGGGATTCGAACTGTTGACCTTCCGATCGGCAAGCCCAAGAGGCTCAGTGGATTAACAATAGTAATAGGCTGGCAAGAGCTGGAGAAAAAAGAGCATTTCTCTGAGCTCACACCTCCCTGGCACCTTCATCCTCCTGCATACCTGAGCCAGGTGTGTTACTGACATCTCTGTTCCTTCAGGATGAAAGGGCCCTCAGAGCTGAAACGTGCCACAGCCTGTGAGGACAAAGTGGAAAGGAGATGGTTTCAGGAATGGGGATCACATCTTGCCTCAAAATGTGCTTGAAATCTTCTAGTTCAGGGTTGAGGAGCCTGTGGTCTCCACCCCAGATGTTGCTGAGCTCCAGATCCCACCGACTCCATCTGCCATCATTCGGCCAACGGTCAGGTAAGATGGGAGTTGTAGCCCAGGCAACATCTAGCAAGCCAAAAGTCTCCCAGCCAGGCTCTGAGTGGGACAATGGAACAATCACAATCCTGCCCATGCTTACTTGGAAGTAAATCCCACTGAATTTAGCGGGGCTAACACCCACGTTAAGTGTGCATAAGATTACTATTGTCCTTATTTATTTGGCTTACGTACAGGACCATATAACACCGGTCCTGAAAGACCTACATTGGCTCCCAGTATGTTTCCGAGCACAATTCAAAGTGTTGGTGCTGACCTTGAAAGCCCTAAACGGCCTCGGTCTAGTATACCTGAAGGAGTGTCTCCTTCCCATCCCTCAGCTCGGACACTGAGGTCCAGCGCCAAAGGCCTTCTGGCGGTTCCCTCACTGCAAAAAGCCAAACTACAGGGAACCAGGCAGAGGGCCTTCTCGGTAGTGGCGCCCGCCCTGTGGAACACCCTCCCATCAAATGTCAAAGAAATAAACAACTATCTGACATTTAGAACACATGTGAAGGCGAAGTTCAGTGAAGTTTTTAACGTGTGGCATTTTAATGTGTTTTTAATCTTTGTTGGAAGCCACCCAGAGTGGTTGGGGAAGCCCAGCCAGAATGGTGGGGTACAAATAAATTATTATTATTATTATTATTATTATTATTATCATCATTTATCAAAAGACCCCCAGGGCATTGTACAACATTAAGAGCACATTCCGAGAGGTTGGTATAAGAAGATATTGATTTTGGTCAGTGGAGAGGTTATGTTAAGTAATATGCTTGAATGTTGAACGTTTATCCTGAGACGATGGATAAAACAAACACCGTTAGCTGTACTGCTGGATAAGTGTTTAAGGGTTATTGTATTTGTTGAAAAACCAATAAAAATTTGATTTAAGAAAAGGCGGGGGGGGACACACGTTTTATGGAACATCAGTAATAAAAACGTAATGAAAAGCATACTAACGGACAGCATACTATTGGGAGATTGGGGACAGACAAAAGAAGGTGGAATTTGCACGCGTGGAATTTGCTCCGTACAAGAGGTAGAATCCTAGAATTGTAGGGCTGAAAGGGTCATCTAGTCCAACCCCACCCCCAAAAAATGCAAGAACGGCTTTAAAAGAGGGCAAAGGCTGTGCCAATGGCTATTTATTCCCTTAGAAACGAGTATTTGGGGACCGCGCGTGGGGAGGTCCTGTTTGGAGAGGCTTGCCGTTGTGGCATCTTGTTGGCCGCCGGACTGGGGATTCCTCTGGCCTGATCCTGATCTTCGGATGCTCTTAGCCCGAACAATGCCTCGCCTCCCTCCGGCCCCACGAATCCAATCTGCACCCCCTTCCTTTCTCCTTTTCTTCCACCCGGAATTGCTCCTTTCACCCACGGGCTTTTCAGTTTATTTATTTTTCAACTCACCGGCTTTCTCCCCCAAGGAACAAAGCACCGCCCCAAGGCCTGGGAAATTCCATGAATTATTTCCCACGGTGGGCGGAGCAGGAAGCGACATCCGCCATCGATCTCGCCGCCACCCAGCCGAGCTAGGAAAAGACTCGCTTGGCTTTTAACCCTTAACGCAACAGGAGCTGGGCAAGAAAGCAACGCATTTGTCATACAGTGTTTGCCACTGCCCCAGGTTCTCTGTAACTGCTTGAATCCCTTTTAAAATGTCGCTTCTCTCTCTCTCTGTCCAACAGCTCTCATTCTTGTTTGGAATTCAAATATTGAATCTTGGCAGCATTCAGATAAATTCAACAGTGTAAAGAAATTGTGATGGATGTAATAATGGAATGCTGAATGGTTTAGTTTATGTAAAGTATGCAGGGATTTTATGTTATGCAAAATGAACCATCGAAAGAGAAGAAGGAAAGTCACTGATATTTTAATGACGCTTAAATGAGTATTCTAAATTGTAAAACAGATATATACACAGAGAGAGAGAGAGAGAGAGAAGTGTCTATATGAATTTCTGAAGTTTCCCCAGTGAGCCAGTACATAGATGCATTTATCAGCAAATTGTTACGTTTGGTATCTTGCAGCAAAGGCCCTTTGAACAGATAGGAAGAAACTGTGATGAAGTGTTTTGTGGGGGCAAATCACAAAAGCGATTGTGCTGATTTTGGTAGTGGGCTGCATGTGCATGATATCTGCTGGAGGGGCAACCCCCCCCCCAAACATATACATAAATTCCTGCAACAACACTTAACAATTGGTCTGGAAGGAACTCACCTGGTGAGATGGCTCCAATCTTCTCCATTGACCAGCCTCGCCTACTCTTGACTGCATGGTGTTCACAGGCCTGCACCTCTGATTGGATGGGAGGAGGAAGGACAGACACCTGACCACCGCTTTAAGGGTCAGGCTTTGAAGCCCTTTTGGGGATTCCTCCTGTCTCGTTTTTGAAGCAGCTCTGAGAAAATTATGGAGTATGTAAGTTACTCTCGAGTGTGGCCGATCTGTGTAGTAATAGGAATAGTTCTAGCTGACTACCGCACTGTGTTGTGTTTGTCGGGGGCGTGTGGTTATGTAATGCCTCTCAGGGGGAGCAGATTAAATTGCAATTTTGTCAAGTCGTTATAGAAAGTGTAGGAGAAAGAGGAGTCTGGTGACTCAGTCTCCCTTGTGCAACTTGTCAGTGGAGCAGTACCTGGTTTTCCATTGGGGTGGCAGCTGCTGGTATATTTTACTAATAATATGCATGTTTGTGTAAATATGCCTATATTGTGGGGGTTTTTTGTTTACTTATGTTGTAAGTTGCTTGGAGATCTTCTTTCGTAATGAGTGACTAACCAATTTAATTACCATGGCCCTGTTTTTTTAAAGAGAAGTGGGAGAGGAGGGGTTTAAATATGCTCTCTGTTCCTGGTTTTTTTTTTTTAAAAAAAATTCATTTGTATTAGATTTTACAAGCAAACAAAAAAAGTTTATAACAATACCAAATCCATATCCATTTAAAGAGATTTCTCTGAATCTCACAACTTCCCCTCCAACCCTTCCTTGGGTCCTAGTGTGAACATTTTCAAAAACATATTATTTTGTGATCTATTTTTTGTATTTATCCATATTATCCATAATACCTGTTACATTACAAGTGATATTAAATTCTAATAATAAATAAATAATAATAAATTAAAGTCCTGCTAATATTTTCATCTGTTTACAGTGGTCTCCTAAGTAAATTATAAATTTCCCCCAATTATTTTTTTTTAAAGTTTTTGTCTTCTTGGTTCCTGAGTTTCCCAGTCAGCTTTGCCATTTTGGCATAGTCCCATCAGCTTAGTCTGCCATTCCTCTTTGGTAGGGACTCTTTCTTCTTTTCATCTCTGGGCTAGTAGCACCCGTTCCTGTTTTTGAAAATGCAATTTTTTAAAAGAAGAAATTAAGCCATCTGTGTTATACCAAATGATCAGCTGTTAAGGTTTGCAAGTGCACCAGCCAGCTGACTGGCGTCATCAGTCAGCTGATTGACAGTGCAGATTTGCTTTTGGCTGAGTTCTGCTTTTACCTGCCCTACAACAGAGAGAGACAGAGGGGGGGGAGGGTAATATATATAAAACAGTAGATAGGTCTGCGGAAAGTAGTGGCAGATAACCATGGCAGGAACTCTCCTCTGTTTGGATGATATGTTGAACTGGCTCTGCTCATTATCAATGCCATGATGTTTGACCCCCTAGATGTTGCCGAACTACAACTCCCATCAGCCCCAGGCAGCATAGCCAGTGGGCAGGGATCATGGGAGTTGTCCATCAAAACCCATTATTATGGTAAGGTAAAGGGACCCCTGACCATTAGGTCTAGTCGTGACTGACTCTGGGGTTGCGGTGCTCATATCGCTTTATTGGCCGAGGGAGCCGGCATACAGCTTCCGGGTCATGTGGCCAGCATGACTAAGCCGCTTCTGGCGAACCAGAGCAGTGCACGGAAACGCAGTTTACCTTCTCGCCAGAGCAGTACCTACCTTCCGACCTTTTGATTGGCAAGTCCTAGGCTCTGTGGTTTAACCCACAGCGCCCCCTGCATTACGGTACTTGTATTCAAAGAATGGGCATTCAACTGTCCTAGAACATTTTCTCTTTTTTTGTAGATAATTTTTATTAATTTTCATTTAATATTCCAATTTGTATCAAATCTTGCCACATCATAATATAAACAAATAATGTAAACCAATTATACATTCCAAATTAAAAGAATTTCGGGACTTCCCATGTTCTGGATGTCTGGAGAAAGTCTCTTACAGTTGTTCCTGCGTTTATCTCTCTCGTTTTTCCCCAATTTCATAAGTCCGATCTTAACCCATTGTTTAGTCTTCACAGTCCTGGTGTATGACTCTACCGTGTCCAACAAATCCATCTTTCTTTTAGCATGCAGGAGGCAGTTTATTCTGTGTTCATATCCTTTAACTGATTTTTAGTGTAGTCATCTCAGTCTTTCATGTCACCATTTTATCTTCCAGGCTCTGGGCTCTGTTCCAACTCTCTCAACGCACGCCAACTCTCCTTGTCTTGATTTATGGCATTTATGGCGCAGCAGTCTTTCAGTCTTTCAATGAGTTAATTTACCTTTACCTTTTTATTCCAATTGCAGTGGTACCTTGGGTTACAGACGCTTCAGGTTACAGACTCCGCTAACCCGGAAATAGTACCTCAGCTTAAGAACTTTACCTCAGGATGAGAACAGAAATCGTGCTGCAGCAGCAGGAAGCCCCATTAGCTAAAGTGGTGCTTCAGGTTAAGAACAGTTTTAGGTTAAGAACGGACCTCCAGAACGAATTAAGTTCTTAACCTGAGGTACCACTGTATAAGTCTTTCATAGTGTCCAACTTAATGTTCCAAGTTAGCGTTCCAAATGTGGATCTCTGTAGAAAAGCTTTTCAACCCAGAACATTTTCAGACCACAATGCGATAGTATTTACATGGAGAAAGGACAGATGAACATCATTTCGATGGAGCCTTAAAAAAAAGTAGTGGGAAAGGGCTAGCTAAAATTAAAAGATGACTTTGAATTTTGAAAACCAAGAAACAGATATTAAGATAGTGTGGGATGCTGGAAAAGCAGTGATGAGAGGATTTCCCTTCCAGTGGAATTCACTTTTTAAGAAGCAGAAGAAGTTGAAAAATAAAGAGACCATGTTGGGAATAGCTCAGAAAGAAAGGGAACTTACAAATTTTTTAAAAGGTGAAATTGTACAAACCATCAAAATGTTGCGAAAATTATCTATGTCGGAGCAGAAGCCGAAATATTTAAAGCAGAGGTCAGCAAACATTTTCAACAGGGGGCCAGTCCACTCTCCCTCAGACCTTGCGGGGGGGCGGACTATATTTTTTTGGGGGGGGGGGAATGAAGAAATTCCTCTGCCCCACAAATAACCCAGAGATGCATTTTAAATAAAAGCACACATTCTACTCATGTAAAAACACACTGATTTCCGGACTGTCTGCGGGCCGGATTGAGAAGGTGATTGGGCTGGATCTGGCCCCCGGGCCTTAGTTTAGCTACCCATGATTTAAAGCAATGAGCTTTTGAATTTGCAAACAAACCAGGCATGGAAACTTAAAAACAAGAGGGAAAACAATTTTATAATTAAAGTAAGGTAAAGGTAAAGGGACCCCTGACCATTAGGTCCAGTCGTGGCCGACTCTGGGGTTGCGGCACTCATCTCGCTTTATTGGTCGAGGGAGCCGGCGTACAGCTTCCGGGTCATGTGGCCAGCATGACTAAGCCGCTTCTGGCAAACCAGAGCAGCGCACGGAAACGCCGTTTACCTTCCCGCCGGAGCGGTACCTATTTATCTACTTGCACTTTGACGTCCTTTCAAATTGCTAGGTTGGCAGGAGCAGGGACCGAGCAACGGGAGCTCACCCCGTCGCGGGGATTCGAACCGCCCACCTTCTGATTGGCATTTCCTAGGCTCTGTGGTTTAACCCACAGCGCCACTTGCGACCCTTTATAATTAAAGTAGCAACTAAAAATGGGACATCGTATGTCAAAAAAGTAATAAGGGGGCCAATGTTTCCCCATGCCTGGTCTAACTCTGCCCTTTGGTCTTATTTTAGCAGCTGGCTGTCACCGACAAGACGATCAAGATTGGTGATGGCATCCTGGTGATGGGGAGAGCGCCCCCAGATGCCAAGAGGTTTGTACTGATAAAGCAGAAGAAAAATACATGGGTTGAAGAGGGATGGACCCGCATGGGGTTCTGCTGCTTCCTATCAAATGTGAGTTTCGTCTCCAGTATCTCCTCTGTCTCCATGACAGGTTTGCCATCAACCTGGGCCGGGATCGCCACAACCTCCTCCTCCACTTCAACCCTCGCTTTGATACACGCGACATTGTGTGTAACTCCAAGGCATGTGGAGTGTGGGGTCAGGAGCTGCGAGAGTCGCTGTTCCCTTTCCAGCAGGGAGAAGAAGCCAAGGTGAATATGGGGATACGCCATTAGCTCAGGGGTGGAGCATCGACCTCACAAGCAAGAGGTCACAGGTTCAGTCCCTGGAATTTCCAGGTAGGGCGGGAAAAGTCTCTTGCCTGAAACTCAGGAAAGCCACTGCCAATCATTCCAGACCAGTGGTTCCCAAATAGCTAAGTACAGTGGTACCTCGGGTTAAGTACTCAATTCGTTCCGGAGGTCTGTTCTTAACCTGAAACTGTTCTTAACCTGAAGCACCACTTTAGCTAATGGGGCCTCCCGCTGCCGCTGCGCTGCCACCGCACGATTTCTGTTCTCATCCTGAAGCAAAGTTCTTAACCTGAAGCACTATTTCTGGGTCAGCGAAGTCTGTAACCTGAAGCGTATGTAACCTGAAGCGTACGTAACCTGAGGTACCACTGTACTGCGAACCCTCTATTTTTCCAAAAGCCAAGCCACAGACTCTCACACTTTTGAAAATGTTGATATTTCTGTGCCACCATTAGGGCTGGGCGATATATCAATAATATCGTCTGAAACCGGTTTGAAGCCCATCTCGTGATAATCGGTTTATAGTTTTTGACCTGGCAATATATCGCGAATCGTGATGTGTGCTAGGACTGGGCAATAGATATACTGTCCAAAAGCAGTTTCAAGTCCATATTGTGATAATGGTTTTGTAGTTTTTGAGCTGGCAATACATGGTGAATCGTGAAATGTGTGTGCGCGCGCTATGCAAAAATCACAATGTGGGGAGTGAAACCAGCCAATGACTCTACATAGCTCCATCCTTATTTCAGACATCTTGATATATCGCAATGTTTAGCTGGTGATATATTGTGATGTTGCAAAACCAGAAATCCCTCAGCCCTAGGCACCAACATGTCTTAGCACAAAACCAGGCTATGCACCTTCCGGGCCACACTCCTGCACAAGTCACATGACCAACATGAGAGCACAGTGCTCAAAAACGGGGTGTTAATAGGTATTTGCCATGGACCTTCTGGGTGGGCTACGTGGATCCCCAATTGGGAACCAGTGCTTTAGACAATACAGTCATACCTCGGGTTGAAGTTGCTTCAGGTTGAGCGTTTTCGGGTTGCGCTCCGTGGTGACCCGGAAGTAACGGAACGTGTTACTTCCGGGTTTCGTTGCTCGCGCATGCGCAGACGCTCAAAATGACGTCACTCGCATGCGCAGAAGTGGCGAATCATGACCTGCGCACAAGCAGACGCAGGTTGCGTTCGCTTCAGGATGCAAACGGGGCTCCAGAGCGGCTCTCATTCGTATCCAGAGGTACCACAGTACTGAGCTTGATGATCGATCAATGGTCTTAACTCGCTTTAAGGCCGTTTCCTGTGTTCCTTGTAAGGTGAGTTGGATAATGTGGTGCTGCCACACTGAATGCCCTATTCCTGGTAACCAGAGCCGTCTTTCCTATAGGGCTTAGTGGTTCGTTGCGCCAGGGCGTCGGCCTCAGGGGTGCCCAGCGAGTGGAGGAGCTGCGCGGCTTTGCCAGCGGCCTCCCCTTCCCCTGCATGTCCACCAGCTGCACCATATAGTCCCCCCCCCCGGCTGGCAGTGCGCAGCTTCACCCCCCCCATCCATGGTAATTTGAGGGCACTGGGTGGATATTTGCACCCCGGCGCTGCATCTGCTAAACACAGCCCTTCTGGTAATCCCAGAGTGAGCACTGTCCAAAGTGCCTCTGCTGCAATTTGGGGCCATTTGCTCCACCAGTTTCCCTCTGCCCTCAGTCAGCTCCCACCTTCTGGCTGGAGAAGAAAGAATGGACCGCATTGTACCAAAGGTCTATCTAGAACTACAACTCCCATCAACCCCAGCAAACAGCCTGGCTGACACTTGTTGCACTCCAACAAATTCTGGTGAGCACCAGGTTGGCTAAGTCATTGGTTTCTCCTTGCTAGATCTCCATCTCCTTTGACGCCAGGGCGGTGACGGTGACGATGCCAGGAAACAAGGAGATCAAGTTCCCCAACCGGCTCGGGATGGATTCTGCACAGTTCTTCTCGGTGGCTGGAGACTTCAAGATCAAATCCGTCAAGTTTCTGAACTATTATGCTCCCTTTGCAGCTCTGAACTAGCTGGGGGAAAGAATGTGCAAATAAAGTCCCGTCTCCCAGAGTTTCTGTTGTTTGAATGCGAAATCGGGAACCATGTCCTCCAAATTACTTCACCAATTACCGTATTTTTCGCTCTATAAGACGCACCAGACGACAAGGCGCACCTAGTTTTTGGAGGAAGAGAACAAGAAAAAAAATATTCTGAATCTCAGAAGCCAGAACAGCAAGAGGGATCGCTGCGCAGTGAAAGCAGCAATCCCTCTTGCTGTTCTGGCTTCTGGGATAGCTGCGCAGCCTGCATTCACTCCATAAGACGCACACACATTTCCCCTTACTTTTTAGGGGGGGAAAAGTGAGTCTTATAGAGCAAAAAATACGGTAGTTAACCAAGGTGTTAACTCAGGGTGCCTCTGGGCTGTCAGTGGTTGCTGGAGGGGACTGAGCTGCACACCAGTGTGGTGTAGTGGTTAAGAGTGGTAGCCTCATAATCTGGGGAACCGGGTTTGATTCCCCGCTCCTCCACATGCAGCTGCTGGGTGACCTTGGGCCAGTCACACTTCTCTGAAGTCTCTCAGCCCCACTCACCTCACAGAGTGTTTGTTGTGGGGGAGGAAGGGAAAGGAGAATGTGAGCCGCTTTGAGACTCTTTTGGGTAGTGATAAAGCGGGATATCAAATCCAAACTCTTCTTCTTCTTTTGGTTTGCACACTTAAAGGGGGTTAAAGTGCTGTGCTGCCCTAGTGCAAAAAATCCACTTAAACAGAAATAAATAAAGCCACAAACTTGCATTTTGGAATGTGATGACAAAATACCTCCAGGGGTTTGGGTGGATGAATGACAAAGGTCGTGTAAACGCCCTGCAAGAACATCAGGACGAATGCTCATTGCTGAACCGTAAATGAATCAAAACAAATGGCCAGCTATAATCTAACCTCTCTGTAATCAGTGTGCAAGCAAATCAGGATATATACTCAATAAATGGTTTATCTGGAGGGACCCTTAGCAGCCTCTGCCTTTTAGTCCATTTTAGTGTATTGTCTATTATACAGTGGTAGCTCAGGTTAAGTACTTAATTCGTTCCAGAGATCCGTTCTTAACCTGAAACTGTTCTTAACCTGAAGCACCACTTTAGCTAATGGGGCCTCCTGCTGCCGCCGTGCCACTGGAGCCCAATTTCTGTTTTTTTCCTTTTTTTTTGGAAAAGTTTTTATTATTAAAATAATTCAGCATTAATACACACATATTGCAAATATACAAACATACATTTCATACAATCCTTAAAAATGTTCAAACATACCTACACTCAATCCCACAGATAATTCCTTCTGGAGGTCTGTTCTTAACCTGAAACTGTTCTTAACCTGAAGCACCACTTTAGCTAATGGGGCCTCCTGCTGCCGCCGCGCCGCTGGAGCCCAATTTCTGTTCTTATCCTGAAGCAAAGTTCTTAACCCGAGGTACTATTTCTGGGTTAGCGGAGTGTGTAACCTGAAGCGTATGTAACCCGAGGTACCTCTGTATAATGCCAGATATTCCTCCCAAGAGCTCAAGCTGTCTCTCCCCATTCTATCCTAACAGCAGCCCTGAGAGATGGTGACTGGTCCAAGGCTCTTGAGTTTCATGGCTGAGTGGAGATTCAAACCCAGTCTCCTAGGTCCTAGTTCAGCACTCTTACTACACCACACTGAAAGAGTCAGCAACTTGCAGAGATGATGATTATTATTATTTCTACCCTGCCCACCTGGATGGGTTTCCCCAGCCACTCTGAGCGGCTTTCAACAGAACATTAAAAACAGAATAAAACTTCAAACATTAAAAACTTCCCTAAACAGATGTAGCCATACGAGGGAGCAATCCTAACTATGGGAAGCCAGCGCAATTTATCCCGGTTTAGGTGAAGCTGGTGTAAAGCACGCCTGACCCAAATCTGTTCAGGAGCAGTGTTCCTGCCAGCTGAGCCATCGTGAGTCTGGCAGAGGGAAAGGTAAAGGTAAAGGTAAAGGGACCCCTGGCCATTAGGTCCAGTCGTGACCGACTCTGGGGTTGCGGCGCTCATCTCGCTTTACTGGCCGAGGGAGCCGGCGTACAGCTTCTGGGTCATGTGGCCAGCATGACTAAGCCGCTTCTGGCGAACCAGAGCAGCCCACGGAAACGCCGTTTACCTTCCCGCTGGAGCGGTACCTATTTATCTACTTGCACTTTGATGTGCTTTCGAACTGCTAGGTTGGCAGGAGCAGGGACCCAGCAACGGGAGCTCATCCTGTCGCGGGGATTCGAACCGCCAACCTTCTGATCGGCAAGTCCTAGGCTCTGTGGTTTAACCCACAGCACCACCAACGTGCCTCTAGAGGCCTCATTAATAACATTTTTGTACATGTACAATTCTGGAGTTCAAGGTGCAAGATGATAACAGGCCGACCAATTCTTATAATGACAGCAGCTAAGATTATCCCCCCCGGGGACAGAGGAAGGTGTTTTGGAAGGCGACGAGAAACACCTGCCCACCGTCTCTGTCAAATCAGCTTCAATGCAAATAGAAGCTGTGGGAGCACAGAGGGGGCCCTTTAAGTTGGCAGGTCTCCATTAAAAACATCTTATTAGCATCAGTGCAGATGCAGTTGGGAGTAATTTGGCTGTTAACGTCTCCCAACTGTGTCTGAGCTAATGATCCCTGGGAGGCACCCACAGACTTGCACAGTGTGAATTCACCAAGGAGGAATCCACACAAGAGATTCTTAATCATCATCATCATTTTTTAGCGCCTTTAAAAAATGCTGTGCAGTAATTGATGTTTAGCTGTTGTGGCTTTCCCCAAAAGAATTAGGGACTTTACTTTGATGATGGTGTTGTTGAGAGAGTCCCTGTAACAAAGGGATCATTTCTTTCTTTCTTTTCTAAAATTGTTATTAGAATTTTCAACATAACAGTTTATCAAAAACATATCATCCTCATTTTTCCCCTTAGTTTTTCCCTCCCCAAGAAACACCCCCTCCCACCCCCAGACTTCCCTCAGGTCCTCTCTCTGGTTTTTCAACATATGTTATTTTCTGCATATTGTAAAATTGTAAAGATCCTTAATTTATCTGTATATGTTACCAATACAGTGGTACCTCAGGTTACATACGCTTCAGGTTACACACGCTTCAGGTTACAGACTCTGCTAACCCAGAAATAGTGCTTCAGGTTAAGAACTTTGCTTCAGGATAAGAACAGAAATCGTGCTCCGGTGGCGCGGCGGCAGCAGGAGGCCCCATTAGCTAAAGTGGTGCTTCAGGTTAAGAACAGTTTCAGGTTAAGTACGGACCTCTGGAACGAGTTAAGTACTTAACCCGAGGTACCACTGTAATAAATTTGTGTATGTTTATTCAAAACCTGCCAAGGAGTCCAGTTCACTTTGTTGTTTCTTTAAGTACTTTGTAAAAGGTTCCCATTCTTCTTTAAAGTCACCGTTGTCCTTATCACGCAGTTTATGTGTCAGTTTCGCCAATTCCACATAATCCATCAGTTTCTCTTGCCACAGTTATTTGGTCGGGATTTCTTCCTTCTTCCATCCTTGTGCTAGAGTAAGACTCTTGCCGCCGTTGTCGCGTACATAAATATGTTCTTCAATTTCCTTGGCAGGACAGAGGGATCATTTCTACACCCAAAGAAGAGGAGAAATCCCCAACGAAAGATTTTGTTTGGATACATTACACAGTAATTTTGCCCATGTTTTCACTGGTAAGGTCAATCACACTTTTATTTTCTAGGCATGCATGGGGAATTCAGAGAGAGGGGGAGATATATGGCTTAAAGTCTTAACAGATTAAAACAAGGTTTATTTGTCTGAAGGTTTAATTTCGGCCTCCGAATAAAGTTGTAAGAACATAATAATTGCTCTGCTGCTAAAGTAGCTCACTTTCTTTCAGGCTTTACATTTGGTCACTACAGGTGTACGTTATATCTGCAAGGTATTTGCCAAATTCCAACAAGCACGACAACAATGTGCTATACATTTAAAGCAGTATCATACCTCTTTATACTTCCATGGCTTCCCCCAAAGGATCCTGAGAACTGTAGTTCGTTAAGGATAATGAGAGATGCATGGAGACCCCATTCCCTTCGGAGCAACGATTCGCAGATATCCTGAGGGATTGACTGTTAAATCACGCAGAGAATTGAGGCTCTGAGAGATCATTCTAGTAGCAGCTGCCCAGAGCAATCCTATATACTTATTTACCTGGGTGTAATTTACCTGGATCCAATGGGACTTAACATCTGAGTAGATGTGTGAGGTTGTTCTGTGACAGACTCAAAAACAGTGACAGACTCAAAAACATTGCTTGGACATTTTGTGGGTGGTGATGCCCTGATCTTCCATCAGCATGGCCAACAGCCAGAGATGATGGGAATTGAGAGCCAGTGTGGTGTAGTGGTTAAGAGTGGTAGTCTCCTAATCTGGGGAACCGGGTTCGCGTCTCCGCTCTTCCACATGCAGCTGCTGGGTGACCTTGGGCCAGTCACACTTCTTTGAAGTCTCTCAGCCCCACTCACCTCACACAGTGTTTGTTGTGGGGGAGGAAGGGAAAGGAGAATGTTAGCTGCTTTGAGACTCCTGAAGGGGAGTGAAAGGCGGGATATCAAATCCAAACTCCTCTTCTTCTTCTTCTTCTTCTTCTTCTTCTTCTTCTTCTTGTAGTTCAACACTTTCTCTATGTCAAGCGTCAGCAGACTTTTTCAGCAGGGGGCTGGTCCACTGTCCCTCAGACCTTGTGGGGGGCCAGACTATATTTTTGGGAGGGAAAAAAAGAACGAATTCCTATGCCCCACAAATAACCCAGAGATGCGTTTAAAATAAAAGGACACATTCTGCTCATGTAAAAACACCAGGCAGACCCACAAAATAACCCAGAGATGCATTTCAAATAAAAGCACACATTCTACTCATGTAAAAATACGCTGATTCCCAGACCATCCGCAGGCCAGATTTAGAAGGCGATTGGGCCAGATCCGGCCCCCGGGCCTTAGTTTGCCTACCCATGCTCTATGTCAGTGATGGCCAAACTTGGCCCTCCAGCTGTTTTGGGACTACAATTCCCATCATCCCTGACCACTGGTCCTGTTAGCTAGGGATGATGGGAGTTGTAGTCCCAAGACAACTGGAGGGCCAAGTTTGGCCATCACTGCTCTATGTTCATAATGCTGGGACCTGACTAAAATTATGGGTTCCTCACATGGAGTCAGGAATGCAAAGGACATCGAATGTACCGAGAGAGACACAAGTCACGTCACTTAGCAATTTGGTTAATGATTGGAGAGACTCCAATTTCCATTGGCCATTCTCTTCCTCTCTGATTGATTGGTCCTTACAGGCTTGTTTCTGATTGGCAGGAAGAGGGCCACACCTCCTCTTGGCCACTATTTAAAGCTCAGGCAGAAAAAGGAAGACTTGCTTGCTTTTGTGTTTGTCAGCAGCTGAGTCATCAAACCTTCACAATGGAGACTGTAAGTTGTCCGGAGGGAGTGGGCTATGAGAGTATGAGAGGAGTTTATTTTGTTCTTTAATGTTAGATAGGGTCAGCTGGTAAGCATTTTAGCTTACTGTTTAATCTTCTTAAGTACGGAAGTCAGCCCGGTAGAATAGATGGAGGCTTATTTCTAAGTGGAGCTGAGAGATTGCAGCCTTAATGAGTCGGGGAACAGAGGTTGGCGGCTCTGAGTCAATAATAGTTTTCTGCGGCTCATTGTGGCATGCCCATATCTAAGGATTCTTGAATGTTGCTCTAGCAAAACCTTCTTAAAACCGTTCTCCCCAAAAGCTCCGCTGCTGGACAGAATGCAAAAGGAACTAGCAATCCAATCCAATCCATTCTGTCTGGGTCTGCGAGGTTGCAAATCCTATTGTGCTTCTGTGTACTTCTGGGTGTAAACGTGGGGTTAGAATTGCAGCCAGTGGTGATAGTTTCCTAGTTCCTTGTCGTATGGGTCAAGGTGGATGAACTGTTCATAGCTGCAGCAGTCCCTTCTGAATGAAGGCTAGTATTGCCTAGTACTTCGAGCTCAAAGAACTGCCCTGGCCCTACCGTTTAGGCCAGGTGACATTCCAGCCTCAGGCAGTTGACGCTGGGCGTTGTGAAAGGGTAGCAAATTCGCGGCATCTAACTTCCCGTATCTCCTTACTGCTAGAAAAAGGAAAGGTTCCTGTAAATTGTTAGAGGTGGCCGGCTGTGCGTAATTTGCTTTGGGCAACAAAATGTATCTTTCACCGTCTTTCCTGTTTTTGCTCGGTAGAGCGTGAGACTCTTAATCTCGGGGTCACTGGTGGATGAAAAATTCTTGCATTGCAGGGGTTGGACTAGATGACATTCATGGTCCCTTCCAACTCTACAGTTATGTTTATCCATGAGTTGATTATGAACAGAAGGAGTCAAGGCTACGGCAGTTACTCATGCCTTCAGAGTAGCTATTTGCTGATATAAGGGCTGGTAATAAACTAATTTAATTATTGTGCTGTGCATGTGACCAGGCATGCCTTTAGAAATTATTCGGCGGTGCAGCTAGATATTAAATTGCTTAAAGCTCTCTGGGCTTCATTTTCTTATTGTTTTCCTGTTTAGATCATGCCTATTACTTAAATTCACTTCAAACTGTAGCAAAGCAACTCTGCTATGTTTGGGGCCTTCCGGCATATTCCACAGAGTGTGGCCCTGAATCTCTGCCCGAAAGTTTTCCCTGATGATGCCACTGGGCTTATTAGGGGTTGTACATGTTCGTTGTTGCTCTGCAAGCCATGATACTACGTGGAAGACTTGTGGGTAGGAGGATGCCAGCCATTGTCTGGTCTGGCCTTGAGGAGGGCAGAGGCCTTGTGGGCAAAACGGAAAGGCAAACGCTTGGCTATAGCTCCTCATGATAACGGACATTCCTGAAAAAAGACGTCTTTGATTTTCTTAACCAAAAAAAGAACATTCCTGTTGGATTGGGTCAGAGAAACTCAAACAACTCGTCTTGCTCATTTACTCATTAACTACATGGAGAGAGCCTGCAGCTGGCTTCTTGTGAAACGGAATCGAAATAGCCAAATTTTCTCACCTGTACAAACACATTTGTTAAAGCACTAATGGTTTTCTGTAATGTTGTAAACAAAAATCTGCCCCTTTTTCCCTTATGGCGTATCCAAGAGCCCATATAGAGTCCTTACGTAGGTTCCCTATTGGTAGGAGAAAATAACAGAGGCCAACCAGAGAATATTGAGAAGCAAAGCAGCTAGTAAGCTTGATCTTTATTGATCTGTTGCAACAGGGTCCTCAACTCACCACACAAAGGAGGGAGGAGGAACCCAGAACAATGGCGCGCAAGGCCTTATAAAGACTTTTGAAATTGCCATCCTGTAGATCAAGACCACCCCCAGAAACATCATACATACATCACAGAAGGGGTGTAACCTAAGACCACCCCCCAGATAGATCATACCTTCATCACAGAAAAGGCGGTCTAAAACAGAAATTTGAATGTTGTTTTTCTCCTGTCGTTGTTTATCTCCTGTCTGGCAGGTTACTTGATTGGATTGCCTGGGGAGCCTGGCCATTCTTTTGTAATGATAAATACTTAGTTCCTGGGCCAGGACACAGGCTCACACCCTATTCATATCTTAAATGTACCCCCCAAGACAGGATCCGTGAGGAAAGAGACAATGGGGAGGTTTCCCACTTTGACCTTGCAGAGAAATCGTTTGCTCAGTTTGGGAATCAAATGGTTCCAGGTCGGTCTTCCTGTGCTGATCTATGTATGTGCTTGGTTGGTACGCTTATGAACATTACCATATATCTAAGACCTCAAAATTCCTATCACAGTGCCTCGCCCCACATCATAATTTTATTCTGAAGTAATGAACTCTTTGTGTGACTCCCTTGTCTGACGTGAACTGCATCTGCAACCAACATAGTACCCTCCAGCTGTTGGGGACTCCCACTCCCATCCTCTCTGGCCATTGACCATTTTGCTGGGGTCTGATGGGAGCTGGAGTCCAGCAAGAGCTGGAGGCCACAGGTGAGCTGTCCCGAAAATGCCTCTCTTCCAGCTAGATTCCTAGAATTGCTGGGAAATGGGGAAGGCTTGTAATTTCTTGCCCTGTGTCCCTGCTCTGCATATGGGAGCATTCACAAGGAAACCAGCAATAACAGCTGTGTAACACTTTGTCTGTGATCATGTCCAGACCATAGATTTAAATCGCTCATATACTTGGTTTCTCCTAAAGAATATTGGGAACTGTGGTTTAAGATTTTAACAACTCTACAGTTCCCAGGAATCTTTGGGAACATAGCTGTTTTAAAGTGGTATGAGTGTTTTAAATGTATAATACAGATGTGACCTACTTCTCCGGTTGGATCTCTGGTTCCTTCTCCCTTCCCCTTCCATGCTTGCAAAATTACAGTTCCCAGGTTTCCTGGGAAAGGGTGGGGGTGTTCCAAACCTTTTTTTGGGGGGGTGGGCACCAGTCATAACATGGCTGTTGTCGTGGGGTTGGGATAATGCGAAATGGTGCCTGTGGAATTGTGGCGCAATACAAGATGGCGGTGGCGGTGCAGCATAGCATAATGCAAAATGGCCGCCACATCTGAAAGACCAGAAGCAGAACATAGCTGTCAACGTTTCCCTTTTTTAAAGGGAAATTCCCTTATTCCGAATAGGATTCCTCGCATGAAAAGGGAAAAGTTGACAGCTATGGACCAGAACATGATATGGACATGTCCCCTCCATCAATGGAAATAATGGCCACTGCCCCCACTTGCTCACAGCAAGAAGCCTGTTACATGTCTCCTTCATTCGGAATAGGTGGATATCTAATTCTGGAACCCAATGAGCTGTGGGCATGTTTAAGGGTTGTGTGTTCAATAATAGAGAGGCCAAGCCAGTGGGGGGTGGGGACAAGGAAACAATACTTCATTGATTAGGTGCAGCTGGGCCATTTGTGGGAACTGCAAATATTTGCAGAGTTTCTTCCAAAAGAAATTGTAGTGGAAATGGTTCCCCTTTCCAGATAGGAATGACCTTGGAGAAGATGTTACCTGTGTGCATTCTAATGCTCTTGTTTCTACCTTTCCTCCAGCAAATGGTTTTTTCCCACTTGTCAATCAAGCCCGGTGAATGCATCAAAGTGAAGGGGAAAGTGCCACCAGAGGCCAAAAGGTTTGTGTTATTGAAGGTGGGCTGGTTTATTTTTGTTGGTGCAAAAAAAACCCAAAAAAACATATAGAAAGGAGAATTCCTGAATGCCAAGATCTAAGTTTGGGGCAAGTACTCTGGTGAATGAACTCCAGCAGAGATTTAAAGTCACAAAATATGCAGCAAAGCAGAGCGTGGAAATACAGGCTGTATTTAAAATATGCCCCTCCAAAATGTCCCCCTAAAAAAATCTTTCCAAAGTTTCTCTCTTCCCCCTGCATAAGAAAAGACCACATGTTTGGTATGTTATAAATGGTTTACTTACAAACTCTCCAAAGGTCAGATTCATGTGCTTCAGAAAAGTTGCACAGGCAGTAAAACCTAGCTTGGTTACAAAGTGGTGAAAGTGCCTAAATTATTGGTATATGAACTCAGTCATGGTTTATGAGAGCCATGCTGTTGGAGCAACCAATACATTATTGGAATGATCAGGTCAAGATACAGTACAACCATATATTTTTAATTAGTAATCTAACCAGCCACTGATGCTGATCACTACTAAAGGATGCTTAGCTTAACTTTCCTTAAGAATTATTAGATGCTATTTTTGTGTGCTTTTATGGGCTCCTCCAGATGAACTGTTCATCCTGCTTTTCACAGCTTACGTGAAGCTTATACAATGCCTGCTCTTTACTGAGTGTTTGTTCTGACTGTGGAGGCAGAGTATAGATTTTTGGGGGAGGTGACATAGCTTCCCATTAATCATTATCTGACTCCTCTTAGTACAAGCGAGTTAAACGGTCCCATGATCACCACCACCAGTCTGTTAAAGGACTTGAAAGATGCAGTCAGATACCTTCAGCAGTGGCTTAGCGTAGGTTGGCAGTGCCCGGGGCCACATGGAGGGGGTGAGAGGGAGGTAAATGGATGTAGTACGCATGCACATTCAACTGCTTAATGGCATCCGCATCACCCGGGAGATAGCAGCTGCAGAGATAAGAAGAGTTGACTTCCTTTGTCTGCAGAGGTTACTTCCTGGTTCACATGGAGAAGTTGTTTTCAATGGAGCCCAGCGACAGAAGCACACAACTGTATTGAGGCAGCACCGGGTGTTGAAATTTGCGCCCCGGGTAACTGCCCCCACGCTACACCACTGCCAAACAGGACTTTAGCCAAGTCACAAACCCAGGCTAGGTTCTTGTCAATCAGCAACAGTATCCTACTTCCAATATCACCATAACAATAGAACCGTTAGACTTTGTCTCCGCCAGCTCCTGCTAATCCACCTTGTGAGTGTTGGTCTCATGTGGTCCTCCCCTCTTTCCAGCTTTGCCCTCAACTTGTGCCACGATGATTCAGACACGATCCTCCACTTCAATCCTCGCTTTGATAGTCACGGAGACGTCAACACCATTGTGTGCAACTCAAAGACGAATGGTCAGTGGGACTCGGAGCTGCGGGAGTCGGTGTTCCCCTTCCAGCAGGGAGAAGACACCAAGGTGAGCAGGAATAGCCTCAGCACCGCCAGAACTTCAAGGAGAGGCAGTGGTCATTCCTGGATTGGGGGGCTCCTTGGGCACTGGGAACTTCTAAATAAGTTGGATTTTTGGTCCATCTCTCTCAGCACTGCCTTTGCTACCTGGCATTGACTCTCCTGGTATTAAGTAGTGAGTGGACATAGCAGACGACAGAGATTTCTCCCAAGTAGTTCTTTATAAGTAAACTGGAACTGAACTGAACTGCAAACAGCTCAGCCGGCCTGCTTTTATAGGCAGCCGACTGTCAACATCATAACGACACAGGGTTTCCCGCCTAAATTAACTGACGTGGACCTGAGAGAAAACTATATACACAATACGCCCTGGTGGCCGGGGTGAGAACTTCAATACATAACACCTGGGTTTCAGGGAGAGGCTACCTGAAGATGCTGAAAAATTGAACCCAGGATCTTCTGCATGTGATATGGTTGCTCTTTCCCCTGGGCTATAGCATTCTCAGAGGGGCTGCTAACCAGATAGGAATGTAATGAATTAATTCTCTTGTGCTACTTCTGCCTTTCTGAGGGGGTTCTGAAGTGAAGTATGATCATTTGTGGTGAATCTCTCTCTCAATTTCGGCACATAATTTCTTATAATAATTTATTATTTATACCCTGCCCATCTGGCTGGGCTTACCCAGCCACTCTGGGCGGCTTCCAACAAAAGATTAAAAATACATTAAAACATCAGTCATTAAAAACTTCCCTAAACAGGGCTGCCTTCAGATGTCTTCTAAAAGTCAGATAGTTGTTGTTCTTTGACATCTGATGGGAGGGCGTTCCACAGGGTGGGTGCCACTACCGAGAAGGCCCTCTGCCTGGTTCCCTGTAACTTGGCTTCTTTCAGTAAGGGAACAGCCAGAAGACCCTCGGAGCTGGACCTCAGTGTCCGGGCTGAACGATGGGGGTGGAGATGCTCCTTGAGGTATACCAGACCAAGGCTGTTTAGGGCTTTAAAGGTCAGCACCAACACTTTGAATTGTGCTTGGAAACATACTGGGAGCCAGTGTAGGTCTTTCAAGACCGGTGTTATGTGGTCTCAGCAGCTGCTCCCAGTCACCAGTCTAGCTGCCACATTCTGGATTAGTTGTAGTTGTTGTTTCTGGGTCACCTTAAAAGGTAGCCCCACATAGAGCCCATTGCAGTAGCCCAAGCGAGAGATAACCAGAGCATGCACCACTCTGGTGAGACAGTCCGTGGGCAGGTAGGGTCTCAGCCTGCGTACCAGATGGAGCTGGTAGACAGCTGCCCTGGACACAGAATTGACCTGCGCCTCCATGGACAGCTGTGAGTCCAAAATGACTCCCAGACTGTGCACCTGGTCCTTCAGGGGCACAGTAACCCCATTCAGGACCAGGGCGTCCTCCACACCTGCCCTCCTCCTGCCCCCCCCAAGAAGACAGTACTTCTGTCTTGTTAGGATTCAACCTCAATCTGTTAGCCGCCATCCATCCTCCAACTGCCTCCAGACACCCCCTGCAATGCAGGCATCTCAACACATGGTTTCCCATCTAATTTGAAACCATAGCAGACCCTGCTTAGCTTTTCAAACGTTCTAGCAATTTTATTGCTGCACCACTAGAGGGAGAGAAAGGATAGGTGTGTTTTGGTATGAAAAGCATCAATTAGCTGGGGTTTTTTCGTTAAAAAAGAGGGCTGCATCCATGTCCTGTTTACAGTAGACCCCTTGAAATGAATGAGCTCAATTTTTCCATGCCTATTAATTCAGGGGGCCTACCCTAAGTAGAACTGGCATTGGCTACAACTCTGAATTTCTCTCCCCAACCTTAATTTCTACAGCCAAATGATGAGTGTCATGGTTTCAGGTTGAACTGCCCTAACAGAACCCCCCAAACAAAATTGGTCAGGAGGTGTAATTGCAAGGGTGATAGTAGTTTGTATTTCCCTCCCTCCCTCCATTAATCCACTCCTGTTTGGGTCATAAATCTCTTGGAAGCATCTAATTGCCTCTTTCCAAGGAACAACCCATGAACCTAACTCCTTGACTCCTCTTCTTCCCAGATCTGTTTGTCCTTTGATTACGAGGCAGTGACTGTGAAGATCAATGGAGACCAGGAAGTCAAGTTCCCTAATCGGCTTGGGGCGAATTCTGCAAAAATATTCTCAGTGGAGGGAGACATTGCGATCAGAAGTGTCAAGTTTGACTGAAGTTCAGCCATGTCTTATTTTGTATGTCTATAGAAGGAAAAACAGAAAATAAAATGTGTTGCTTGACCTTGTCTGCCTTGCCATTTTCCTGGGGATTCCTTGTTGTTGTTTAGTCGTTCAGTCATGTCCGACTCTTTGTGACCCCATGGACCAGAGCACGCCAGGCACTCCTGTCTTCCACTGCCTCCCGCAGTTTGGTCAAACTCATGCTGGTAGCTTCAAGAACACTGTCCAACCATCTCGTCCTCTGTCGTCCCCTTCTCCTTGTGCCCTCCATCTTTCCCAACATCAGGGTCTTTTCCAGGGAGTCTTCTCTTCTCATGAGGTGGCCAAAGTATTGGAGTCTCAGCTTCACGATCTGTCCTTCCAGTGAGCGCTCAGGGCTCATTTCCTTCAGAATGGATAGGTTTGATCTTCTTGCAGTCCATGGGACTCTCAAGAGTCTCCTCCAGCACCATAATTCAAAAGCATCAATTCTTCGGCGATCGGCCTTCTTTATGGTCCAGCTCTCACTTCCAGACATCACTACTGGGAAAACCATAGCTTTAACTATACGGGCCTTTGTTGGCTTTTGTCTGCTTTTTAAGATGCTGTCTAGGTTTGTCATTGGATTCCTATTGACATACAAATATCACTCCACTCTGGGAGGCAAACAGATACCAGCCAACGACAAATGCGAACTTGGATTAAAGTTAGATTGTTCCCAATTTGAATTCCAGGTTTTCTCCTTGGCTAAGGTGTGAATGCATGCACAATTTCATTATGTTCAATGAAATTTATCTAGAACCCTTGTTTCAGTGAACTCAATTTAGTGTTTTTACCCTGCTGTTCCCAGATCAACGAAAATGAAACAGTCCCAGTTCTTGAGTTTAGAATCTTAAAAAGACAACACAAAAGGAAAATGGATTGGGAGGAGGAAGTAAGCAAACTCAGAACAGTTTTTAGTTACAATTTCTTTGAATGACCAGCTGGGATGGAAGCTGTTCAAGGAGAGCAGGAGCCAAAAGTTTTTGCTTTCTCTTCTCTTACCTCTTGACAGGTTATCATTTCAGGTGACTTCAGTAAATAAGCATTTAATAGAATGTATAGAAATGCAATAATTCTGCCAGTGAAGTTGTGAAGCAAAAGCACTAAGCTCTTTCAAAGTGTGACACAACCCTCTGGCTGTGTACACACACCATATGCTTAAAGGACCCTAACCCCAAAATGCTGGGAACTCTAGTTTTAAGGATGCTGAGCTTTGTATCTCTCTGAGGCGTAAACCACAGCTCCCATGATCTTACAGTGTGTGTGAAAAGTACGAATGCCTCCCTGGCCTTATGTATTTGAGCTGCTTAGTGACAGCAATCTGGTCCCTTGGTGCCTTAAAAGAATTGAAATTGAAATACTTTATTGTCACTTGCACAACTTGTATACAGTGAGATTACACGAGCACCCAGTGTAATACAGTGGTGCCTCGCAAGACGAAATTAATTCGTTCCACGAGTTTTTTCGTCTAGCGAATTTTTCGTCTAGCGAATCACGAATTCCCATAGGAATGCATTGAAAATCAATTAATGCGTTCCTATGGTCAAAAAAAGTCCAAACAAAGCCAAATTTGGTACAACAACCTCCCCAACTGTTGCAAACCCCTCCCCAACTGTTCCCCCAGCCCCTCCCCAACTGTTGCAAACCCCTCCCCAACTGTTCCCCCAGCCCCTCCCCAACTGTTGCAAACCCCTCCCCAACTGTTCCCCCAGCCACCCAGCACACAGAAATTCAAATCCAGAATTTTTTTAAAAAAACAGCAGAGTGGCCCAATGGTCACAGAAAATCATAAAATGCAGAAAAAAACACACAAGCTTCCAGATTCTTGCAAACCCCTCCCCAACTGTTCCCCCAGCCACCCAGCACACAGAAATTCAAATCCAGAAATAATTTAAAAAAACAGCACAGTGGCACAATGTAAACAGAAAAGCATAAAAATGCAGAAAAAAACCACACAATCTACCAGATTCTAGCAATCCTCTCCCCAACTGTTCCCCAGCCACCCAGCACACAGAAATTCAAATCCAGAATTTTTTTAAAAAAACAGCAGAGTGGCCCAATGGTCACAGAAAATCATAAAAAATGCAGAAAAAAGACACACAAGCTTCCAGATTCTTGCAAATCCCTCCCCAACACCAGTCCTTGAATTCCAAACACCCCAACCCAAAATCCAAACCCCCCCCAAAAAGTTTTAAAAGCTTAACTTGGCTGCAAAAGAAGTTTTGGAAAAGCTTCAAAAATCACCAAAGTCTTTAAAAACCTCACAAAAGGCTACTATGTACACTGCGTTCTATGAGTTGCTCCTCGAAGTCAAGTCGCAACTGTATTAACGGTGTTAAGAAAAAGGAAACAAACTTGCAAGACGTTTTCGTCTTGCGAAGCAAGCCCATAGGGAAATTCGTCCTGCGAAGCAGCTCAAAAAATGGAAAACCCTTTCGTCTAGCGAGTTTTCCGTCTTGCGAGTCATTCGTCTTGCGGGGCACCACTGTACAATGAATGCAGTACAGTCGTACCTTGGAAGTCGAATGGAATCCGTTCCGGAAGTCCATTCAACTTCCAAAACGTTCAGAAAGCAAAGCACGGCTTCTGATTGGCTGCAGGAAACTCCTGGAGCCAATCAGAAGCCCTGTTGGACGTTCGGCTTCCAAAAGAATGTTCAAAAACCAGAACACTCACTTCTGGGTTGGCGGTGTTTTGGAGCCGAAACGGAAACGTTTGAGAATTAAGCTGTTTGAAAACCAAGGTATGGCTGTACTTGAAAGAAATGAGTTCAGATCTTTCTGTCGCCATAATATGGTAACTGTCTCCTTACAGCTGTCTTAGTTTAAATTTTTTTTATTTTGTTTCGACTATGGCAGACCAACCTACCTGTAATTAGTTGAACATTATGGCCAACCAAAATGTCACAAATTGGTGAGCAAGCTTTTAGTTATTTAGCTATTTATATAAAAGAGAAATTGTGGTGTAGTGGTTAAGAGCGGTAGTCGCGTAATCTGGGGAACCGGGTTCGCGTCTCCGCTCCTCCACATGCAGCTGCTGGGTGACCTTGGGCTGGTCACACTTCTTTGAAGTCTCTCAGCCCCACTCACCTCACACAGTGTTTGTTGGGGGGGAGGAAGGGAAAGGAGAATGTTAGCCGCTTTGAGACTCCTTCAGGTAGTGATAAAGCAGGATATCAAATCCAAACTCTTCTTCTTCTATACTGCTGTATCATAAAAAAAATGTCAGTGGTTTGCAGCAACCTATAAAACCAGACAATAAAATCATAAAAGGTTTTGAGTCCACCAGAACGTAGGTGTTAAGCAAAGCAAGGAAGAGGAGTGATGGAGGAAAGCTGTCTTGCTCTTGACATCTGCATTGGTCAAAAATCCATTTCCCTTTTATGCCTCACATGCGGCTGGTCACAAAGCACTCACAGTTCAGAATTTGCCACTCGGCCATTGGGTTTTGCTGGGGAATTTGAGATTTCAGCAGCTCAGTCTGACTCCCCAATACACCCCGAAAAAGGGACAGATCCTCTCCCCGGAGAACGAGGCTGCAGGGAAACTGAATATCAAGTCATCCGTATCAGCGTCAAAGAAATCCACGCGACCTCCTTCGTAGTCCAGGTACACTCGGATCTTCCTGGGTTCGTATCTCAAGCTCAAGAGGGTCCTCTCAGAGGATGTAAACGCCGTGAGCCGATAAGGAGACAATGGCGTCCTCAGTGAGTCTGGCAGGGCCTTGCCCAGAGCCCAGATTCCCCCGTTGGGATTGAAACTGACCTTTCCTTTCCTCACGACGGACTCTCTGGCAGCTCCCACTGCCCAGATCTCCATGTTTTCTTTCAACTCCCATTGCCTTTCATTTGGATGAGACTCTCCTTTGCTCCTGACGGACGGTTCTTGCGAAGTCCGCAGGGCCTGCGGCGTCGCCTCTTCTACTTCCACCTCCCACCAGTGTCTTCCCGAAGCGAGCCTCTCTTGGCCCAGCACAAAGGGCTCCCAGTCGAATCGCGAAGGGTTGTCAGGGAGGTCCTGCATCCTGCATCCCCATCTTACTCTCTTCAGGTCTTGGGAGAGGATGAGGTTGGCATGAGCTGTGCTGGGATCCAGAGTCACGTTCACTGCGGAGAAGAGAAAAAAGAAGGAAAGAAGGATGGTTGGATTTTTTAAAATTATTATTATTAAAGATTTTCTTGTTTTACAGAAGTATGTGTAATGTCTCTCGTATTTTTTCCATTTTTACAAATCCGTTTCATTTGTTGAGACATTAGGGGGAGGGAAAAAAGGGGTGGAGGGGGGGAAGATGGGGTAGGGTGGGGTCGGGTGGCGATGTTTCTATTATGCTTAATGTATGTAGGGTTTGGTGTCAGCGTTGCTTGTGTTGTTCACTTGTGTTCCTTTGGTGGTGAGAGAGGTTGGGGTTGGCCTAAGGTGTGGTTGTTTGTTTGTGATTGGCTGTGGTGATCTTTGTTTTCGTGTGTGAGTGAGGTGGGTGGGTGTTTTGGATCAGGTTAGCCATATTGATTTGTATGCTGTTGATGGATTTTTGTCATTGTCTTGTTGGACTCTGTATGTGATAAAGGGGAGCCATACCGGGGTAAAGGCGTCTTCTTCTGTTTGTCCCCGTGTCAGTTTCAGTTTATTGGTTAATTTTTCTAGTAAGGCTGTTTCCCATACTATTTTTTTTTTAAAAAAATATTTATTACTTTTCCAAAAAAAATTTACACTAAAAGAAAAGAAAAAACACATACAATACATTAAACTAACAAAACAATGCAACAACAATAAAATAAATCAAATTTCATTATCCCATCTTTCATTCACTTATTTCCTCGACCTCCTCACACCTCCCTTTTTGTATTCCACTTCTATTAATTATTTCAGCAATTCCTTTCCATCTTCCTCTGTTTTCTATCCTATAATTATCTTAACTCATTCTAACCTTATTTTTTCCTTTAATACTCTATTAATCTATTTATACTTTATTCCTTATAACATTTCTACTAAAGCCATGTAACTTCATTCCAACATTTTTCTAACATTCATTGATTTTACAATATTTCTGTAAATCTTTAAATTTTTTCCAATCGTCTTCCACCAACTCTTCTCCCTGGTCTCGGATTCTGCCAGTCATTTCCGCCAATTCCATATAGTCCATCAACTTCATCTGCCATTCTTCCCGGGTGGGTAAATCTTGTGTCTTCCAATACTTCGCGATGAGTATTCTTGCTGCTGTTGTAGCATACATGAAAAAAGTTGTATCCTTCTTTGGCACCAATTGGCCGACCATGCCCAGGAGAAAGGCCTCTGGTTTCTTCAGAAAGGTATATTTAAATACCTTTTTCATTTCGTTATAAATCATCTCCCAGAATGTCTTAATCCTTGGGCATGTCCACCAAAGGTGAAAGAATGTGCCTTCAGTCTCATTACATTTCCAACATTTGTTATCGGGCAAATGGTAGATTTTTGCAAGCTTGACTGGTGTCATGTACCACCTATAAATCATTTTCATTAAGTTTTCTCTTAGAGCATTACATGCCGTAAATTTCATACCTGTGGTCCATAACTGTTCCCAGTCAGCCATCATTATGTTATGTCCAACATCTTGTGCCCATTTAATCATTGCTGATTTCACCGTTTCATCCTGGGTATTCCATTTCAACAGCAAGTTACACATTTTTGACAAATTCTTAATTTTGGAGTCTAACAATTCTGTTTCCAATTTTGATTTTTGTTTCCCATACTATTTGGTACCATTGGTCCATGCTTACTCCTGACAGGTCTCTCCAGTGTCTGGTTATGATGTTTCTGGCTGCTGAAAGTAGGTGGGTTATGAGTTCTTTGTGGTGTAAATGGGCATTGTTGTCTTGGAAGATATTTAGTAGGGCCATTTCTGGGGCGATGTCTAATACTTGCTTAGTTATTTTATGCATTTCTCGTGTGGCTGTTGTCCAGAATAGTTGGATTTTGGGGCACTCCCACCACATGTGGAGGTATGTTGTATGGTGCCAGTAGAAGCATAAACTTAACCAGAGAGGGACTCGCAAAACTCGCTTTCCACCAGCTGCTGGTCAGGAGGCCAGCCTAATCTACCTCACAGAGATGTTGCGGGGATTAATAATAATAATAATATTTTATTTGTACGTCGCCCTCCCCAGCTGGAGCCAGGCTCAGGGCGGCTAACATCATAAAACTAACACAGTATACACAGTAAAACTATACACAGTATACAGTATTAAATATGAGCAACGTAAGCCACCTCGAGCTTACAAAAGTATGGGATTTCAGTGCAATGAAATTTAAATGGCTGCCTGGCGCCATTTAGAGCTTTAAACACCACCAACAAGAGCACCTTAAATTCACCAAGAACTGGACTGGCAACCAATTATTAGATTTACCTAGGTGCTCTAACATATGGCAAGGTGCAATCTCATGTTAAGAAATGCTTGTTTTGACATAGGATTACACTGAAATGATGTTTTTCATGGGGAGCAGGTGCGATTTAACGCAAAGGCCTCCTACTTGACCTCCATCTCATGCATTTAAAGAGCCAAAAGCTCCCTTATGTTTCAGTCGCAGAGATCTACCTTTCTTCCGTGTTTGTGAAAGGATTCGTAGAGGCATGTTCTCCTTGAACTTTTCATGCAGGCACAACCTTGCCATGGGTTTTGTGTTGCCGGCACAACGGTGCAGAAATGGTTGGCTTCGGCAGTGCAGAGGGGTGACTTTGGCAAGAATAAAACGTTCACTCAGAGGTCAGTCCTTCCCATGACTGTGGTGTGGCATGAATCCTGCAAGGCAAAACATTTAATCTGAAGCAAACGGATAACAACAATACCCCACCCATCTGGCTGGGTTTCCCCAGCCACTCTGGGCGGATTCCAACAGAATATTAAAATACAATAGTCTATTAAACATTAAAAGCTTTCCTAAACAGGGCTGCCTTCAGATGTCTTCTAAAAGTCTGGTAGTTGTTGTTCTCTTTGACATCTTGTGGGAGGGCATTTCACAGGGTGGGTACCACTACCGAGAACGCCCTCTGCCTGGTTCCCTGTAACCACACTTCTCGCAGTGAGGGAACCGCCAGAAGGCCCTCGGCGCTGGACCTCAGTGTTCAGGTAGAACGATGGGGGTGGAGACACTCCTTCAGGTATACAGGACCGAGGCCGTTTAGGGCTTTAATGTTCAGCACCAACACTTTGAATTGTGCTCGGAAACGTAGTGGCAGCCAATGTAGGTCTTTCAGGACATGTGTTATGTGGTCTTGGCGGCCACTCCCAGTCACCAGTCTAGCTGCCGCATTCTGGATTAGTTGTAGTTTCCGGGTCACCTCCTCTTTCTTTGCCTCCCCAACCCTGAGGGAAAGGAACGGTCCATTTACAGAAATGCTGGGAGACCTTCAGCCCTTCAGGTGTTCCCATCATCCCTGAACATTGACTATGCTGCCTGATGGGAACTTTCTCCAACCCTGTACCTTGTGTTACAGATGCTTCAGGTTACAGACGCTTCAGGTTACAGACGCCACTAACCCAGAAATAGTACCTCGGGTTAAGAACTTTGCTTCAGGATGAGAACAGAAACCGCGCGGCGGCAGTATTATGGTTAAACTCTTCTCACCAGTATCTCCCATTTGTGCGCATTTGTAGGGGACAGTGAGAGTTCCTTTGCATTATTCTATTGCTTTTTCAGCATGTGGGTGGTGTTTACTAGTTTTTACGCTGCAGTGGTGGTTCTGCAACTTAATGCAATGTCATATATCGCAGCCGTGTCATGTAAGCTCCCCCGTTCCTTCGCGAGCCCGCAAAGCAATATTTTAAATAAAAGCACACATTCTACTCATGTAAAAACATGCTGATTCCCGGACCATCTGTGGGCCAGATTGAGAAGGCGATTGGGCCGCATCCGGCCCCCGGGCCTTAGGTTGCCTACCCCTGGGTTAAGGAGACAACATGGGGTACTTTTGCCAGCCAGATGTGTCGATAGGTTCCTTCGGTCCATGGCTAACTTCAGACGTGCTCAGAAGCGATAACCGAAAGAGGTTTGCAGCAGCTACACCTACAACAGCATTCCTTTTACTGAACTGAAAGTCAAAGTGAAACAGTACGGGCGCTTCCAGAAGAGAGCTTAATACAGCGGTACCTCGGGTTAAGAACTTAATTTGTTCTGGAGGTCTGTTCTTAACCTGATACTGTTCTTAACCTGAAGCACCTCTTTAGCTAATGGGGCCTCCTGCTGCTGCCGTGCTGCCACCACATGATTACTGTTCTCATCCTGAAGCAAAGTTCTTAACCTGAAGCACTATTTCTGGGTTAGCGGAGTCTGTAACCTGAAGCATCTGTAACGCGAGGTACCACTGCACTACAAACATGCTGGTAGAGTATTGCAAGCAGAGTGCTGGTAACAGATTCTATGGGATTTTCCTTGGAAAGGGCAAATACGGATTAAAGGGGGTGGGGGAATATGGACTGGCCAATGATATCCTGTGGGTACTGTGAAAGTCCTGCAACCATGAGAGGCTCCAATCTCACAGCAGACTCCTGCCTGGAGGCACCCTAAGGAAACTCCATAATAGGATGAGCTTTAAACTAGAGTAGGTAACCATTAAGGGACACAGGTGGCGCTATGGGTTAAACCACAAAGCCTAGGACTTGCCGATCAGAAGGTTGGCAGTTCAAATCCCCGCGACGGGGTGAGATCCCGTTGCTCGGTCCCTGCTCCTGCCAACCTAGCAGTTTGAAAGCACGTCAAAGTGCAAGTAGATAATTAGGTACCACTCCGGCGGGAAGGTAAACGGCGTTTCCGTGCGCTGCTCTGGTTCGCCAGAAGCGGCTTAGTCATGCTGGCCACATGACCCGGAAGCCGTACGCCGGCTCCCTCTGTCAGTAAAGCGAAATGAGTGCCGCAACCCCAGTCGTCCGCAACTGGACCTAATGGTCAGGGGTCCCTTTACCTTTACCTAGGTAACCATTGTCCCTGAAGATTGTGGTGCTGCAAAGTAATTTTAAGAAACCCTGGACTAGGTGGTCTTAAAAGGGGTGGGGAGGACTGTTCTGTGGCCATATAAATTACTCTAGTGAGGAAAAACACAATCAGAACTTCATTTTGCCCCCCCCCCCAAGAACTGCCATTCCATAATAAACAGCTGCTCCTCTATTCCTAATAGGTTAGCACAGGGTTTCCTAAACTGTGATATGTGAACTTCGTTCTGGTGGTCCATGGCATCTCTACATTAAGTGTTCATCTTGATTATTAACTGCACGTTCGATTGCTTATTTTATTTCTTGCCGTGCATTTTTGTTGTTTTACAGGTTTTTTTTAATTCTACGGAATGCAAACGGTGACGAAGCAAAATGCAATGTAAGAAATGAAAGAAGCTGTAAAAATACAGTGAAAAACCTAGCAAATTACAATCATAGCTGTCAACTTTCAGATTTGAAAATAAGGGATCAGCAGCCTCACCTGTCCCAGGGACAGTCTATGGGATATCTAACAATCCGGGATAGCAGTGGGAATAAAGGAATTTCCGGCCAAAAAAAGGGAACGTTGACAGCTATGATTACAATAGCTACAACAGGAAAAATAATTAAAATAATCCACTGGTCTGCTAAGACCACCAGCAATTTTCAAGTAGTCTATGGGAGTGAGGAAGAAGTCTGAGAATCACTGGTTTTTGGGGGGACAGACAAAAAACTAGAAAAACTACTGCTTCCCAGCATAAATCCCAAAACTGCTTTTTTATTTTTTTTAAAAAAATACCAGTCTCAGCAAATATGACCCATTAATGGGAATTTATAAATGTTCTAAATTCCACTGTGCTTTTATCCTGCTTTTCTATTCTGCAAAGTTTTAATATTCTTGAGGTTTTCCGTTTATAAGGTGCTATTTCTTATTGCTGTATCTGTGTTTTGTATGTTGCTTAGAAACTGTGGTACTTAAGGAGGTATATAAATTATTTTTAAAATTAAATGATTGGGGGGGGGTAAAAAAAACAAAATAGGAACTTTTTGAAGGTGCAGAGTGTAAGCAAGTAAGCACACAATAAACGAACGAACGAACGAACGAACAAACAAACAAACAAACAAACAAACAAACAAACAAACAAATAAATATATTTGCATCTTGCTCCTTCCTCCTTACCTTGATCCCAGACCCAGAACTCCTCTGTCTGTGAAACCTTTTTGCTTTGAGGCAGAGGATAACTCAAGACAACCGGAGGCATCGCCGCAAAATGCACATTTGCAGTTATCGCGCACACATACAAGGGAACTTACAAAGGCCAAGGCAGACTCGGGATATCAAGCAAAGCCACAAGATGAGGCTGCCGGGGGAAACTCAGACCACACTTCCATCCACAATAGGACACGAAACAGCGGAATAAACAGACCTGCTGGCTAATCGGACCTCTCCAGTCTTCAAGTTTCCGTGTCTCTGAAGTTGACAGCAGCCTCCAGGCAGAGACTCCACATCAATGTTTCTCACCGCCTCTCTCCTCAGGTGGTTTTATAGCCTGCCCTTGATACTACTCCATCCGATGCAATCCTAACTGTTTGCTCAGCGGACTTTTTGGCAAGGCCAAGCTCTGCAAAACGAAACCTTTGCTTATCGGTTTTGCATTTCTCATAAATGGTCGTATCTTACGTAAGCGGACGTAAGTGCTCAAACAAGCCTATATTTATGAGCTAAGTTATTGGGGGGAAAGAGAGGCGAGGTGGTTGCCTCAGGGGGCACCCTGGAAAGATGTGAGGGGGTGGCTGCCTGGGGGGCAGAGAAGCCTCCTCATGGAACTGTATGCAGCGTGGAGAGAAGACATAAGGTTCACCGCACGTTATAATTTGAGAGAAAACCTAATGAAAACGCTGTACCAATAGTATCTGACCCCGGCCAAACTGGCCAAGATGCCCAAGAAAAGCTCTGACATTTGCTGGAGATGCAAAAAAGGGGTTGGTACCTTTATGCACAGGAGGGACACGGGTGGTGCTGTGGGTTAAACCACAGAGCCTAGGGCTTGCCGATCAGAAGGTCGGCGGTTCGAATCCCTGCGACGGGGTGAGCTCCTGTTGCTCGGTCCCTGCTTCTGCCAACCCACCAGTTCGAAAGCACGTCAAAGTTCAAGTAGATAAATAGGTACCATTCCGGCGGGAAGGTAAACGGCGTTTCTGTGCGCTGCTCTGGTTCGCCAGAAGCGGCTTAGTCATGCTGGCCACATGACCCGGAAGCTGTACGCCGGCTCCCTCAGCCAATAAAGCGAGATGAGCGCCGCAACCCCAGAGTCGTCCACGACAGGACCTAATGGTCAGGGGTCCCTTTACCTTTTATGGTCTGTTTATGTTGTTTTCCATTTTGTTTACGTTCTATGTAAATTGTTTTGTAATAAAGAATCTTTTTAAAAAAGGAACTGTAGCATTGGAAGGGGCTGTGCGGGTCCTCTAGCTCAACCACAGGAGCCCACAAAGTCAATGAGGAAAGCCGACGGGTGACATCGACACTTCCTCCAAAAAGCAGTTCAGCTGCGCTCTCTGCAGCCAGCCAGCGAGGCACCCTTTTCCAGAGGGGCTTGGAGGCAGAAAAAATCCCCCAGTCTGCCCAGTTGTATGTTCCCACTGGAATCAATGGGACACCATGTGCCATGACTTCAGGCCCATTGACTTGCACGGGAACGAAGGCCACATCTGCACTATAGACTCAAAGCAGTCTAGACTTTAGAACAGTCATGGCTAGCCCCTCGAAAGAACCCCGTAAAAGATCTGTCGTTTATGATAAAGGTGGCTGAGAATTGCTAGGACTTCTCTAGGTCTCCACACAGAGCTCTCATTCCCACAGGAAGCTGTGTGAAGCTCTGTGAGGGGAACAGGGTTCGTTTCATCTAACAATTCTCAGAAACCTAAACGAACTCCGGTTCCCAGAATTTTATGAGGGGAAATGGTGCTATTCTAGAGGGTGTTTAGAGGGGTATGGTGCTATTTTAAATGTATAATATGGATTGGGCTCCAATCTAGAGGGATACAGCCCATTTTTCAAGGGCACTTCTCTTATTGCCACTTTCAGGTTCATATGATTTATCGTAAGGCCAACTAAAGGTTTTATGGCCTTCAGCCTGGCATTTCCAATCTCAGTTGTAAACTTGGGACTTTCCAGCTGCATGTTTAAAACCCGGGAACAAAGGTCTATCAAGTACAGACGGGCAAATGTCTCAATTTCTTTTTCAGTTTCTCATTTTTCCAATCTCAAGCTCCGTTCTCCACATTCGTTTTTATTGTTAAAGGACTCGTGAAAGTTAATTAGCATTTTAATGCCCCTTTCTCCAAATCGATACATTTTTGCAAAGCAACTTTGCCTAATATAACGCATTATGTGTATGTTTTTCCCACCCATTATACGCATTTGTATGCACACTTTACATCAGTGCATGCACTTTTGCACGCACAAATGGACAGCTGCATTGCAAAATCTGGAGAAGCACGGGTTTCAAAGGATGGCTGCCTTTCAGTTCTTGTGCTGTTTCAGAAAGTGTGAATCGGGTAGGCTCAGCCTGAGATGCCAAATGAACCAAACCTTTCTTGCTCCTCATCCATACCCTCAAATCACCTTAGTGATCCCAGGACCAGCCCCAGGCCACACTGCAATGGTACAACCCCTTCCCTATCCACTCTCATAGAATCACAGAAAGGTGACGTAGAAATTTTGTAAATAAATATATTTTTTATGAAGTGGTCTGTCAAAGATCTCTGAAGCTTCCAGGCGGCTTGCAAGTATAAAAGTTGAGGGTGGAAAAAGCTGTGTCGGTGGATTAGCCAGCTAGAGCTCACAGCAGACACCTGGAAAATTGGGAGTACAGTAGTACCTCAGGTTAAGTACTTAATTCGTTCCGGAGGTCCGTACTTAACCTGAAACTGTTCTTAACCTGAAGCACCACTTTAGCTAATGGGGCCTCCTGCTGCTGCTGCGCCGCCGGAGCACAATTTCTGTTCTCATCCTGAAGCAAAGTTCTTAACCTGAGGTAATATTTCTGGGTTAGTGGAGTCGTATGTAACCTGAAGCGTATGTAACCCGAGGTACCACTGTATATGTTTTTGTGCAGGAGTGAAATGGTCTCACCAACTCTATTTGGTTTCCATGATAACACGATGGTTGTTTTCTGAAGGCAGCCCTGTATAGGGAGGTTTTTAATGCTTAATTATGTTTGTTTATATGCGGGAAGCCACAGAGTTTGGCTGGGGTAACCCAGAGCACAAATAATATAATTATCATCATTAACCCCCGCAACTGTTTTTACCAAGTGGTTCAAAGGGTCAGCCCAGGAAACTTAGGAGAAAAAGAAAGCTGGTGATTACGAGAAACAGAAACCGCAGGGTGGAAACTCCATAGCTCTTCTGCGGCAGTTGCTCTTTAACTGTTTATTTCCAAAGGAACAAATTATACAAAACAGCAACCACAGATGCACAAGACTCTCTACATTTAGAGAAGTGTCCCGCCATTTTAAAACAGGCATGGCTTCCCCCAAGAATCCTGGGAAATGTAATCTGTTAAAGAGTGTTGCCAGGAGATCCCTATTCCATGAACGACCATTCCCAGTTCCCTGGAGAGAGGGATTGTTAAACCATCCCAGAAACTGTTTGAGAAAACAAGAGGGAAGACGTAACACTCTAGTTAAGGACCGCAGTACCTGAGGGACTTCCTCTTCTCATATGAACCTACCCGGACCCTGAGATCATCTTCTGAAGCCCTCCTTCGTGTGCCTCTTCCTCAAGAGGTTCAGAGGGTGGCAACATGAGAACAGAGCCTTCTCTAAGGTGGTTCCCTGTCTGCGGAATGCTCTCTGCAGGGAAGTTAGCCTGGTGCCTTCACTATACACCAATAGGCGCCAGGCAAAAACGCTCCTTTTTAACCAGGCCTTTGGTTCAGTTGGTTGACCTTTTAAAATGGGGGTGGGGTGAGGTTATTGGGTTGTTGTTTTTATTTTGATTAGGTATTTGATGGTTTTATATTTTGATTTTGTTTTGTGAACCGCCCTGAGACCTCCGGGTATAGGGCGGTATATAAATTCCATCAATAATAATAAAGTAATAATAGTGGTACCCTCCCTGTGGAAAGCCCTCCCTTTAGGTAAAGATATACACAACCTTTAGAAGACATCTGAAGGCAGCCCTGTATCAGTAAGATTTTAATGTTTGATGTTCTATTATGTTTTCACATGTGTTTGAAGCTGCCACCATCTCTTACCTTAACCTACCTCACAGGATTGTTGCAAAGAGGAAACAGGGAGGAGGAAAACCCTGTATAGCACCTTGAATTCCTTGGTATATAAATTCAATAAAGAATAATTAAGCAAGGGGCTGGACGAATGCGGCAGCTAGACTGGTGACTGGGAGCAGCCGCCGAGATCACATAACACCGGTCTTGAAAGACCTACATTGGCTCCCAGTATGTTTCCGAGCACAGTTCAAAGTGTTGGTGCTGACCTTTAAAACCCTAAACAGCCTCAGTCCAGTACACCTGAAGGAGTGCCTCCACCCCCATCATTGAGCCCGGACACAGAGGTCCAGCACTGAGGGCCTTCTGGCGGTTCCCTCACTGCCAGAAGCCAAGTTACAGGGAACCAGGCAGAGGGCCTTCTCGGTAGTGGCGCCCGCCCTGTGGAACGCCCTCAAAGAGAAAACCTACCAGACTTTTAGAAGACATCCGAAGGCTGCCCTGTTTAGGGAAGCTTTTAATGTTTGATGCATTGCGGTACAGTGGTACCTCGGGTTACATACGCTTCAGGTTACAAACTCCACTAACCCAGAAATAGTGCTTCAGGTTAAGAACTTTGCTTCAGGATGAGAACAGAAATTGTGCTCTGGCGGTGCAGCGGCAGCAGGAGGCCCCATTAGCTAAAGTGGTGCTTCAGGTTAAGAACAGTTTCAGGTTAAGAACGGACCCCCAGAACGAATTAAGTACTTAACCTGAGGTACCACTGTATTTTAATATTTTGTTGGCAGCCCAGCCAGATGGGTGGGGTATAAATTATTACTATTATTGTTGTTGTTATTATTTCAGCATGCACGGGAAGCACTAGCTAGACAACTAAGGGCTCCCAACTAAAGGATGATTTCCTCCTGCCTTTCCCAATGGACCAGGGCGGTTTGACACCCTTTGAAAGATACCTTTGTGCTGTAAGCAGTTGGATGAATGGGCCCGCAGAGAAACAGGTGATCCGGAGTTCCTTTTTCAGCAACAAGTTTATTTCAAGCTACCTGTTCTTTCACAACAAGCTGTTTTCAAAAACTTACTGGAAAACGTCTCTTGGTAAAAAAAACCCACAAGTTTCCGTGGCTGCCATTCGCGGCGGCCATTTCTTTGGTCTCTCCCAGGCTAGGCTACGTGGTGCGTGTTGTTGGCAGGGAACAGCGATGAGGACAGGTTGTTGGAGTGCAACCGACGGAGAGGGCTGCGCGGGCTGCAGTTCTCGTCATTGGGCCTGGCGTGGCCCCTCTGGGCCGCGGCGCTGTTTGGCACGCCGGGGCGAGGTGTCCTGGCCTGTGGGTGGCTGGCAAAGGCGTCGGTGAGGCTGCTGAGGCTGGCGGCGAGTCCCTTCAGAATCTCGTCGTGGGCGCGCATCGTCTCCATAATCTGCCTCCGCTCCTCCCGGCACCCGGCCGCGTCCTGCCTCAGGGTCTTCAGGAGACTGAGCGCCACCTCTCTGTCGCGGCCCATCTCGAGGAGAAGCTCCTCCTGCTCTTCTCTCGACTGCTGCAGCAACTCTTGGAACAGGGTCTCGGCCCCTTTCCTCTTCTTGGGCCGCAGTATGGCAAAGTCAGCCAGGGGAGATGGGGCTGGGGGCGGGTGGGCCACGGGGGGTTCTGAGGGCAGGAGGAAATACAAATGATAAATTTATTTACTTATTTACTTTTATTTAACTTTTTTATAATAATAATAATAATAACAAGAAATGAAACAATGGTTTGTCAAAAGGTGCTCGCCCACACAGGTACAGTGGTACCTCGGGTTACATACGCTTCAGGTTACATATACTTCAGGTTACAGACTCCGCTAACCCAGAAATAGTGCTTCAGGTTAAGAACTTTGCTTCAGGATGAGAACAGAAATCGTGCTCCCCCGGCGCGGTGGCAGCAGGAGGGCCCATTAGCTAAAGTGGTGCTTCAGGTTAAGAACAGTTTCAGGTTAAGAATGGACCTCCGGAACAAATTAAGTACTTAACCCGAGGTACCACTGTACAGTGGTACCTCGGGTTCCAGACTTTTAAAAACAACCCTTAAAACAGCAAGTTAACATGAATTTTACTATCTAACAAGACTACTGATCCATAAAATGAAAGCAATAAACAATGTACAGTGGTACCTCGGGTTACAGACTCTGCTGACCCAGAAATAGTACCTCGGGTTAAGAACTTGGCTTCAGGATGAGAACAGAAATCGTGCAGCAGGGGTGCACCGGCAGCAGGAAGCCCCATTAGCTAAAGTGGTACCTCAGGTTAAGAACAGATTAAGGTTAAGAACAGACCTCCAGAACAAATTAAGTTCTTAACCTGAGGTGCCACTGTAGTATTATTTGGAGTCAGATGATCTAGCCCAACCCCCTACCAAAGCAGGAAATCAAGGACTACAGCATTCCTTAATAATAATAATAATAATAATAATAATAATAATAATAATTTATAAAGAAAAATAGAAAGATTATTGTCAAATATCTTTTTTTTTGTCCAAAGTAAAGAAGAGGAAAAAGCAAGCGAGAGAGAGAGAGAGAGAGAGAGAAAGGAAGGAAGGAAGGAAGGAGATATAAAGAAAAAGGAATTGAAAGAGTGAAAGTGAAATAGAAAAAAAGGAAGAGAAAGAAAAAAGTTAAAAAGCTAAATAACTTCTGATTTTTCCTCTGTCCGCTATATATAAACATTATTCACTTCATCCACTCCAGTATAAAGCCACTAATAAAGCCACTTTCTACAAACCATTATCTTCTATTCTCAAATCCAAATGTCATTATTTCTTTTTCTTTTTCGTGCAAAAGGTCTACGAGAGGTTTCCTGACTTTAATAAACATGAACCATGACAGTACTGCAGCAGAGGTCCAGCCTCTGCTCAGAAACCCATCAGCAACGGAGAACCCCACCCCTTCCCGCCATTGGAACAGTTTGTACCAGCCACCCGCAGAGAAAGCCAGAATGCCCCTCTTGGCTCTGAGCCAGAGGTGGATTGCAGAGGCGCTTCCATTGCACTACATTTTTAAGAGGTAGCATGAGGTCAAGGAAAAGGCCTCGTCCCTTATAGCCATGTCCTGGCAACCGTGAGTGTGTGTGTGAAAAAGACTTGATGGAAAGCAGAAGGAGAGGCTGTGGACACTTTGGGCTCAATCTCACCACTCCCAGAAAACCTGATGCAACCGAGCCAAAGCTCTTTCCACATTACAGTGCTACCTCGGGTTAAGAACTTAATTTGTTCTGGAGGTCCGTTCTTAACCTGAAACTGTTCTTAACCTGAGGTACCACTTTAACTAATGGGGCCTCCTGCTGCCGCCGCGCCACTGGCACACGATTTCTATTCTCATCCTGAAGCAAAGTTCTTAACCCGAGGTACTATTTCTGGGTTAGCGGAGTCTGTAACCTGAAGCGTATGTAACCTGAGGTACCACTGTACTCAAGAATCCAGATCTGCTGGAACTTCTTCAGCTGAGTAACTGAGCACAGATCACAATGAATTCTTCCATCTATCTCAAATGGCTGAACCGATATTATTATCATCTATTTATTAGCCATCTAATGTGAAAATAGTCTCCAGGCGACTAACAGACTATACAGAGTTCAAAAAAACTTAGTAATCGTTACTATGGTAACAAAAGAAAGCAACAGCTACAGCCATACCTTGGAAGTCAAACAGAATCCGTTCCGGAAGTCCGTCTGACTTCCAAAATGTTCGGAAAGCAAAGCGTGGCTTCTGATTGGCTGCAGGAAGCTCCTACAGCCAATCAGAAGCCACGGAAGCCCCGTCGGACATTTGGCTTTCAAAAGTAGTTCACAAACCGGAACAGTCACTTCCAGGTTTGCGGCGTTTGAGAACTAAGCTGTTCGAAAACCAAGGTACGACTGTACACCAATTGCAGGAACTGTAAAAACATCAGCCGTGACTATTCTTGAATGTAAATTTATGTTGCACACAAAACCAAACCAAGAGTTGCATTTAGACAACGCGTACCTGTGTTGACGTGGGCATCCTGATGCGAGGGGCTTATTTGGTTAACTTGGGGTCTCTGATAATCCAGGTCTCTTCCTGTGGCAAAACGCAGGGAGAAAAACAAAACAGAAACATCTGAGACCAATGGAGGTTAGCAGAGCTGGGTTTGCACAACAGAAATGCACAGGTTTTTTTATTTAAAAAATTGTTGCACAAAAAGATTAAGGGTGTTGCAAATGAAACAGCAAAAAGATTCATAGCAGAGTTACCCTGCAGAACATTTTCACCGCAATTTCTCCAGCACCCACAGGGCAAAGCAACACACCCACCAAACGCACAGTTCAAGGGGCCAACTCTTACCACTGCCTTCATTGCTGTCTTCCTCCTTCATCGCTGCCATGTCGTTCTCCCCAGCCTCTGCCGTGTCTTCCTCAGTACCATTCCCAGTCACCATTCCTGTGTCATCTGGAGAACAAAGCAAGCAGGGAAAAAATACCCACCAATAGTCAAAGTTAAAACAGCTAAAGGAAATAGACACAGAGACATGTTCCCAAGACACAGGTGGTGCTTTACTTCTTATACAAATATTTCAGATGACTGGTTCGGTTTGTAACGCAACTGAAGAAAATAATAAAGAAATGCTTTTTTTTTTTTTATGTGGCTTAATTTTTTCCTCTTTCATGCCAACCCCTGAATGCTTGACCCTCAACAATAATTCATGGCAGGTGCTAAAATAATAGGATATCACCAGGTAAAAATGACCAATAGCCCAGGTCAGCCTTCCCCAAACTGGTGCCCCCCCCGGATGTTTAGACTACTGGCTGTAGCCCCAAACATCTGGGGGAAACTAGATTGGGGAAGGCTGGCCTAGTGAAACGGGTAAAAAAACTTTGACCCCCCAAATTTCATTTCAGTTCCACCAAGGACTGAAAAAGATAACATAGAGAATAGCGTTTATTCATGTACAGTGGTACCTTGGTACTCAAACGTCTTGGTACTCAAACAACTTGGAACCCAAACACTGCAAACCTGGAAGTGTTCCAGTTTGCGGACTTTTTTCAGAAGCTGAACGTGCTCTGTTTTTAGTGTTACACTTCCAATTTGAGTGGCACATTTCCGTTTTGAGCGTCACGTGCTGAGGTCTGTCTGTCTGCTAATTTTGCGTTTTTTGCAGCTCTTTTTGTTTTGTTTCTGTGACTGTGTGGAACCCAGTTCTGCTACTTATTGATTGATTGTGTGGCTGCAGTACATTGTTTATTGCTTTCATTTTATGGACCAGTTGTCTCGTTAGATAGTAAAATTCATGTTAACTTGCTGTTTTAGGGGTTGTTTTTAAAAGTCTGGAACGGATTAATCCATTATTATTATTATTATTATTTTGCATGACTTTCTATGGGAAAGCACACCTTGGCTTTGGAACGCTTTGGTTTTGGAACAGACTTCCAGAACGGATTAAGTCTGAGAACCAAGGTACCACTGTACGCTACAGAGGAAAACTATAACTGTGGCAATTTTCTCTTGAGAAAGAGGAGGCCGCAACACATACTGCCACTCTAACTCCCTCCCTAGAAATGATCCTGTTGAGCAGGCATCGCTAAATATCGGTGTGGAGAAATACAGTGGTACCTCAAGTTAAGTACTTAATTCGTTCCAGAGGTCTGTTCTTAACCTGAAACTGTTCTTAACCTGAAGCACCACTTTAGCTAATGGGGCCTCCTGCTGCTGCTGCGCCACCGGAGCACGATTTCTGTTCTTATCCTGAAGCAAAGTTCTAAACCTGAAGCGCTATTTCTGGGTTAGCAGAGTCTGCAACCTGAAGCGTATGTAACCTGAAGCATATGTAACCCGAGGTACCACTGTATTAAAATGACCGAATAGCGTAAGCAGGACTCGGGGCAGCTGTGGCTGTGGAAACCTACCAGAGTCCTCTTGCTTGAGGTATTCTCCGACATTAACCACATGGACGTCGGGTGGGATGATTTCTTCCGCTGCCGGCTGCGGCTGTTCCTGCGCCGCTTCCGGCTGCGGCACCAGGTGAAAGCTCAGGGTTCGCCCCACCCGGCTGGGTTTCATGCTTGCGTTGCCTTGGAGGATGCGGTGCAGCTGTTCGTAGAAAGGGCAAGTCACCTTACTGCTCCCTGCCTTGGAGTTGTGATCGATCACACGCTTGTATTCCAGCCTCATCACTTTGGTCTTTGAGCGGCACTCCAGGGCGGTCCGGCGATGGCCCCGCGTGGCCATCTTCTGGGCGATGTATTCGAAAAAGTCTATGTTCTGGTGGCTGTTGCGGAGCTGGTCCTGGATTTTCTGCTCTCCCCAGATGTCCAGGAGATTCAAGGTTTCCTGGAGCCGCCACGAAACGCCGCGGCCCTTGCGGCCGTTGCTGGTACCTGCGCTGCTGTTGCCAGTCATCTATCGAAACGACGGGGAGGAAAACAAAGAGAGTTTCGAAACGCATGCAGAGAATGCATAAGCTACAACCGACAGAACCTTAAAAGCTAACCAAACTAAAGAGACCTCAAAAAAGCTAATCACCTATCAATACAGGAAAACCACTACAGTGGTACCTCAGGTTACATACGCTTCAGGTTACATACGCTTCAGGTTACAGACTCCGCTAACCCAGAAATAGTGCTTCAGGTTAAGAACTTTGCTTCAGGATAAGAACAGAAATTGGGCTCCAGCGGTGCGGCAGCAGCAGGAGGCCCCATTAGCTAAAGTGGTGCTTCAGGTTAAGAACAATTTCAGGTTAAGAACAGACCTCCAGAACGAATTAAGTACTTAACCCGAGGTACCACTGTACTACAGTATCGCTGTCATGTAGGGGAATGGAAAAGGGCTGTAACATCAGATGTCAAGGAAATAAACAACTATCTGACTTTTAGAAGACACCTGAAGGCTGCCCTGCTTAGGGAAGTTTTTAATGCTTGATATTTTATCGTGTTTTTTATATTCTGTTGGGAGCTGCTCAGAGTGATGGGGAGGCCCAGCCAGATGGGTGGGGTATTAGTAATATTATTATTATTATTATTATTATTATTATTATTACTACTACTACTCCTACTCTCAGGTAGGTTCTAGGTTCAGTCTCTGGCATGTTCTGGAAGAGCTGGGAGAGTTCTCCTGTCTGAAACCCTCCGGACCAGCGTTAGAAATTCAGACCTCTAAGCTAATTGGCAAATTAAGCCTAGGTTGCAGTCACCAGAACCTAATGTCTAGGCACCTTTTTAAAAACGAAATTTATTTTTTATTATTCATCTCGTTCCTATGCCGCTTTATATTTTAAAGATGAAAAAAAAACCTCCAAGCAGTTTGCAACATATAAAAACATCAAATAAAACCATCCAGGATAAAACAAATTCAAGCTTCAAGGAAAATAGTTCAGATCCTTCTGTAAGTGACACTTTGCTTTCCCCATATTTCTTTACCTACTTAATCTTTAGAGTTGCGCCCTAGCAGTAGTACTCTAGGAAGCCAGTGTGGTGTAGGGGTTAGAGTGTCGGACTAGGAGCAGGGAGATCAGGGTTCATATCCCCCACTCAGTCATGAAGCAACTCTGGGAGTCAGTCCCAGCCGCAACCTACCTCACAGGCAGGGTGGTAAGACTTGATTTAAATCTTTTTTTTTTTTACAGACTCATTCTTGCTGGTATAATCTCAATATTTACAATCAGATGAAGGCTTCGTTTTCGGAATAACAAATTTTCAGAGTAGTTTTTACAGTTACTAATTTGGTTATACTATTAGAAATACATAGACCGATAATCATGAAATTATTGTGAGGTTTAATAAGTTAACTGTTTATATTTGGACAACTTTTCTGCTGTACTTTATTGGAAGGAGAAAAATAATCATTTCCTTAATAACAATTTAAACAATTTGTTTAACTAAAACAATAACATTATAGCATATGTATCGAGGTTTGTTAACTGATGCGGTTAAAGATAATTTAAAAAAAGCATTAAACTGAGTTTTAGCACACATGAAAAACTTAAAACAGATCCTTATTTCCTGATGAATAGCCTTTAGACTATAATGTAACTTAAATAGAAAACTATCTTTAGAAAGATTTTTCCTCCAAAAGCATTTTATTTTTAAAATTCCAATTTAAATTTTTTAAAATCTGATTCATTTTTTTAAAAAATCCGATTTTTAAAATTTAAAAAACCCATTGATTTTTATCCACCCTGCTCACAGGCTCATTGTAGGGATCAACTCGCTTGACTTCTCACCGCCCCTCCCTCCTGCAAACTCAACCCCAAGAATCCTGAAGCAAACGCAACCCGCATCTGTGCGTGTCGCGATTTGCCGCTTCTGTGCATGCGCATGACGTCATTTTGACCGTCTGCGCATGCGCAAGCGGCAAAACCTGGAAGTAACACATTCCGTTACTTCCAGGTCACTGCAGAGTGCAACCCGAAAATGCTCAACCTGAAGCACATTTAACCCGAGGAATGACTGTATTTTGTTATGTGCAAATGGCTTTAGAAACCTATTAAATCCATAAATTACCATTACAGTGGTACCTTTGGTTAAGTACTTAATTCGTTCCGGAGGTCCATTCTTAACCTGAAGCACCACTTTAGCTAATGGGGCCTCCTGCTGCCGCCGCGCCGCTGGAGCACGATTTCTGTTCTCATCCTGAAGCAAAGTTCTTAACCCGAGGTAATATTTCCGGGTTAGCGGAGTCTGTAACCTGAAGCGCATGTAACCCAAGGTACCACTGTATAGCATATATTCAACACACAAAAAACAGTGACAATTTGTTGCTGACAAAGGACAGCTGGACATATAAAGGGAACCATTACCTTGCAGTGGTTCTCAACCTGTGGGTCCCCAGATGTTGTTGGACTACAACTCCCATCATCCCTGAGCTCCGGCCTTGCTAGCTGGGGTGATGGGAGTTGTAGTCCAACAACATCTGGGGAGACCCACAGGTTGAGAAAGGCTGCTTAGGGCCTCATCAAACCTCAATCCGGCCCTGCATCTGCCCCACCCCACCCTAAAATGCCACCCGATTCAGCGCAGAGGGGGCACCCGCCGCCTGCCTCCCCGCTTGGCAGCAACAGCTTACGAGGTGGGAGTCCACGCGGAAACTATTGCACCCCCCCGCCGCCCCCCCCAAAAAAACACCGACGGATTTTTCACCAAACACCTTGCAGAGAAGAAGCAACGAGGAGGAGCCGCGCCTGCAAAGCGGAGCCCAAAACAAAAGGCGGCTCGAGTCGCCGGGGGTGGCGGCGCGGAGCGGCTCCTCTGATTGGACCTGGCGCGGCTCAGGAACGTTCCAGGAAGCCCCCTCGTCCAATCCTGGAGCGAGGCGCGGGGGCGGGGGGGGCACCGCGGATTCGCACGGCTTTCTGCGCCCGCCCCGCGCGGAAAGTCAGCGGAAGTGGGTGGATCCGTGGAGCTTTGCTTTCGGATTGCTCCTTCCTGGGAGGTGCACTGGGCTGTGTGAGCGTATCGTTACTGAAAGCATGCTACTCCGGGTTTTGGCGCTGGGGGGCAGCAGAGCTCCTTCAGCCACGCGCCTCCTTTTTAGGTTGGACGCCTGCATAGCAGGGGGGTTGGACTAGATGACTCTGGGGGTCCCGATTCTGTGGTTCCCTCCCTCTTTGGCCTCAGGCAGCCCTTCGTAGTATAGCCGATCTTGGCCAGTGCATGTCAAAAGAAGCGCCGGTTTCTTTTTTAAATTTCATGGGTTGCCCTTTTTGTGGAACAATCTAACTTTGGCATATGGCTTAAATGCCTTGTTTTACTTCTTTATTCATTACATTTATATGCAACATTACGGGACGCGGGTGGTGCTGTGGTCTAAACCACAGAGCCTATGGTTTACCGATCAGAAGGTTGGTGGTTTGAATCCCTGTGACGGGGTGAGCTCCCGTTGCTCGGTCCCTGCTCCTGCCAACCTAGCAGTTCGAAAGCACATCAAAGTGCAAGTAGATAAATAGGTACTGCTCCGGCGGGAAGGTAAACGGCGTTTCCGTGCGCTGCTCTGGTTCGCCAGAAGCGGCTTAGTCATGCTGGCCACATGACCCAGAAGCTGTACGCCGGCTCCCTCGGCCAATAAAGCAAGATGAGCGCCACAACCCCAGAGTCGGTCATGACTGGACCTAACGGTCAGGGGTCCCTTTACCTTTACCACTTTACATCTTCCAAGCAGCTCAAGCATAGCTGTCAACTTTTCCCTTTTCTTGCGAGGAATCCTATGCGGAATAAGGGAATTTCCCTTTAAAAAGGGAAACATTGACAGCTATGAGCTCAAGTATGTACAGGTATACAGGGTTTTCCTTCTCCCCATTTCATCCTCACGACAACCCTGTGATGTAGGTTAGGGTAAGAGACAGTGGCGGCTTCAAACACATATAAAAACATAATAGAACATCAAACATTAAAAACTTCCCCATACAGGGCCGCCTTCAAATGTCTTCTAAAGGTTGTGTACAGTGGTACCTCAGGTTACAGACGCTTCAGGTTACAGACTCCGCTAACCCAGAAATAGTACCTCAGGTTAAGAACTTTGCTTCAGGATGAGAACAGAAATCACGGCGGCAGCAGGAGGCCCCATTAGCTAAAGTGGTGCTTCAGGTTAAGAACAGTTTCAGGTTAAAAACGGACCTCCAGAACGAATTAAGTACTTAACCTGAGGTACCACTGTATTTCTTTATCTCCTTGAGGCAGGGCTCCACTACTGAGAAGGCCCTCTACCTGGTTCCCTGTAAGCTCACTTCTTGCAGTGAGGCCCTCGGAGCTGGACCTCAGTGTCCGGGCTGAACAGTGGTCAAGAATTGCACCATGAGACATGTTTTACATCAGTTTTATTACATTTCACATTTTGTTGCCATAACCTGGAGGAAAGTACGGCTGGCACCGTTGCTCTTCCAGCACATTCGTCTGAAACATTCAAACAATGTTTTACAATTCCGTTTGCTTTGTGGTGTTATTATTTTCTTCATGTTTTCTCAAGAGGCAAAGAACATCCTGTTTATGCTGAGGGTATGTTGTCTTTAATCTTAACGATCATCCACCTTGTTCCTGAGAGTCAGCGAAAGTGCACCAAAGCAGCAGACAGTTGAGTTTTCCCATGACTGTCGTCCAGTTGAGCCCCATCCTGGCTGCCGTGGTGTTTGATGCAGCAGGTGAATGGCCAAGGGGTTGGTGAGCAGAGCAAGCAGAGTTTCAGCCCCTAATATATTTTATTTCCAACAGATAATACACGGTTCACATGAAGAGGAGCGGTCTAAAGCAGTTCACAATAAAACAACGGGCTGTAGTCCACCAACTTTTTCTCAGAATACACCCGTGGAAACAAAGGGAACCAAGTCATGGCGATTAATTGCAATGGGTCTTACTCCGAGTAAAAATTGGCCGAGTGCAACCCAAATACAGTAATACAATAGCAATGAAAGA